CGTTCCACAGCGCTGACCTTTCCGTCGGCACACGTCCATTTTGTGGCCAATTGCATGGCATTCAAAGCAGACTAGCGGTCTCGGGCGGTACTCACGAACGGCGAGAACCTCGCGCATGTACGCCACCCGTTTAGGACAAGTCTTGCCCTGAAATGTCACGAGTATCCCGTTGCCCTTCTTCCCCAAGGGGCGCGCTGCTACCACCTTCTGGGTTCTGCACGCGATATCCTCCAGAAGTTGTGCAGGAGACACCTCATTACCCTGACCACCTAGGTACACAACGCCGCGGCACTCGTTTCCGGCGAGGGCCTTGTATGGTTGGAATATGTTGTCTTCGTCCCCCTTGCGGATTTCCTTTATTGTCATGAGCTTTGCGGTGATGTTAGGGTCCCTGGTAGTGATGGACAAGGCATTCCCTTTCTCATTCCGGTGGACGGTGTTGTTCGCTTGAGCGTGGATGCCGGCATGCTGGATTGCATCGCGGATTTCTTTTCCAGTGAATGCACCAACTTCTTTCTTTCCGACGGAGCGAAGCACCACAGTTTGTCCCGGAAGTGGCCCTGGTGTATATTTGTCGTCTTTTCCCGTTGCTTGTGGGCTTCGTTTTCTTATCTGCGAGGAAGCGCCTGGGAGCAGCCATTCTTGGTCGTCGTCTGTCTGGGAGACCGGCGTCGCAGTTAGCGGTGCCGATGGTACGGATTGACCCGGCGTGGGTCCTGGACGTGCTGTACGTCGACGTGCCAGCTTGAGAAGCCCAGCCGTCAGCTTGTGGCTTCGGGTTTGCCGATGGGAAGCGGCCATCATCTTCCATTTGTTGTAGTCCTTGATAGGACTCTGCATCGCGGTCCTCAGTGGTTGGTCTCACGGGCGACCGTGACCTATCGTTATTTTGTTTGACCGTGGGTACTGCCTTGGGTCTCTCTGTTTATGCTGGGGCGGGTCGTTCAGGACTTCTTGTGGTAGCGGCACAAATCGAGCAGCAAGTTGTTGCAGAGCTTCCAGGGTTGCCGGTTGGCGTTCAATCACTCCTGCCAGAACTTGAAAAAGTTGGCTCACCTCCGGCGGTGGTAATCTTTGGTGGGTCTGAAGGCCGGCGGGCTGGGTCCCCTGCAGCTGACCTGTGCCTTCTTCCCTGTCAACTTCTATTTGGCCCAATTTGCAAACGGTTTCTTAATTGGGTCGGCATGTTCTGGATGCCTTCCGTTATTGGGCCCGATGTGGCCGTGGTTGTCTCTGTATTGGCAGCTCGAGTGTTTGTGTCTCCCATCTCAGGTGATAGGCTTAGAGCGCTGTTCATGACACCATGTTCGAACATCACTGAAGTCGTCCCTCCCGGGTCAAACATTGGCGGTCGGGGGGTGATGGGAGGCCCTCGTTGGTCCATGATGCCCTTTCGGGCGCGAAGGTCCCTTAATTTGGGCGCTGCGAAGAGCTCTCGGCGGAGGTAAGAAAAACAAGTCTTACAGATCAAGCGCTTCGTCGTCCTCTCTCTTCGATATGTCTAGAGCCTTAGAGCGCATGCTCAGAACTAGCTCACATTAATAGCCTGCTAAGACCGGTGTCGCCTCATCCTGGCAGACCAACCTTACACTGTATAAACACTAAACGTCCAATTTGACTTTTGAAGACCGGCAACCTTGATGGTGCTAAATGCACGCTCCAAAAGGACTGCGGAAGCTCGCCTTGAGCACGCACTCAACAGTAGCGCACACGGATATGGCCCGGCCAGTAACGTTGGTTGGTGTCAACCGATGGCCGCCGGTGGCGACACTCGGCCCCAGCTGCCGAGGCCGCGGTCCACGATCCAGCCTACTACAATAGAGATCAGTGGGCTGGACAGTATTTGTCGCCACGGCTTTTTGTCCTAGCCGTTTGGTGCCGTCGAGTTCGCTGAAGTCGCCAATAGGTGGCGCAAGCCACTGCCTATTTGAAACATTTTAATTATACTCATCTATTCATCATTAAAGGGCAACTCCGGCCGAAACTGAAAATGAAATAAATTACTGGTATCGCTGTAGTGACACAAAATACGACCCCAGTCAAAATATTACGTCCGTGCGACGCGGCATTCTCAACTAATGTCGATAATAAAAATGCGACCCACCGCGAGCCGCTGCCAAGGAGGTGGTTATAAGTACTAGGAGAGGGCACGTTGCGATATTGGTGAAGCCTAGTCATAAAAAGTTTAAACGATTTTGTGCCCAGCGTGACCGCAGATCTCTCTGGCGATTGGTGCGCGTGACATGTCACGTGTGAGCAGGGGGGTAAAGGTGGGTGAGGAGGACTGGCAAATCCTATGCGCCGACATCCTGGGTCCCGAGTGAACGAACGCAAAAGAGAGCGACAGAACACGAGAGAAAAAAAGCAACGTTGCCATGGTAACGCGAAGAGTGAAAACTCTCAGCAATATGAACAGTAATAATTTAACGTTGTAAACTAAATTATGACCTATTCTAACGCTTATAAAAAGCAATAAAGTCATTACGCTGCATTAACTTCCCTTCTGTCGAAATCTCGGAAATCTGGTGGTTGCGCAGTTTCGTATTCCTCAACCGCGCCCAGCCGCGCCCCACCGGCGAAGCCGGGTATATGGTTTAGTTTAGCGTTAACGCGAGGCCGTACATCTGCGCGCTTTTCAAAAAGAAAGCTTCGAAAGGAACGTGAATATCTTTCCACCGGTAAGTTCGTGAATTGTTGAAGTTCACGAAACTGCTCTGATGATGTAACCGTGTTTGGGACCCCGAGGGTCTGCCTGCATGATCCGCCGCTTGCGGCAGCCAGAATGTATGGGAAAATGGCGGACCTTTTCCTCTAGAGTTAGTATGTATGATCTCTATGCGTGTGAGATGGATGGTTGATTGTAGAAGAAATCCTTGCAGGCTTGTGCGCGCGCTCCGTCCAGTAAGTTTTATCAGATCGAAGTCTATAACTTTATAGACTGTGGTGTATTCTAGTACCCCATAGCAAGACGAAAGTCGTGTTCCAAAATTTACTCGATCTTACTCCAGAGTAAGGGCTTTGTACCCTTGGCGTCCTGAAATCTACCCGCGTCCAGCGTTTTTCAATCTGTGCTGTGACGCGATACGATCGGCCGGAGTAACTCGGATCCATTTGGGTAAGATTTGGAACACAGCCGAAGGCTAGCTACGGTCACGTGATGTGGTCACGTTGGCATGGTAAGTGAGGAGAGTAAGGAAGAAAATGAGAAAGAGACGAGGCGTCAAGGGAGCATGGCTTGTGGAGGCTACACGGCCGACGTCATGCCCTCTCCTACCCTTCTATTCTCCATGGATGGATGGTTGATTGTAGAAGGACTCCTTGCAGGCCTGCGCGCGCTCCGTCCGGTAGGTTTTATCAGATTGAAGGCTAGTCTGTGGTGTATTCTAGAGTACTCCACATCTAGACGAAGGCTAGCTATGGTCACGTGTTGTGGTCACGTTGGCATGGTAAGTGAGGAGAGTAAGGAGGAAAATGAGAAAGAGGCGAGGCGTCAAGGGAGCATGGCTTGTGGAGGTTTCGCGGCAGACGTCATGCCCTCTCCTACCCTTCTATCCTCCTTGGCCGCTACTCCTTAGCGGGCGGCCAGCGGGGTGCCGATCGCTAAAGCAACATTGGGCCGTGACGTCAGTATCGTTCTCTTTTTTTTTCCTCCGGTCCGGGCGTTGCGCGAAGTGCGCTTCTTTGAGTCGCTACCATTGCTACTTCGGCTTGTGATTGGCGTGTTTAGCCATTGCTTTTATCTGTAGCCCGTGTAGCTTCGGTATAGCCTTTTGTTTATTTGCTTGTAAGGACTCGTTTTAGCGAGTCCTCACAAGACTCGTTTTAGCGAGCAACTCGGTGCCCCCAAGACTGCCCAGCTGTTCCTCGAAAGATGCCGAGTACAAGCTGTAGCGCTGTGGGCTACTCAAACAACCCGCTGCGCAACACGGAGGTGCTTTTTCACAAGTTTCCAACGGACCGGAAATTGGAGAAGGTGTTGGTGGACGCTTTTCGACGAGTGGACTTTGGACTTCGACTTTTACGCGCCCGAGGAAAAAAGAACGAAAAAACAGACGTGTACAGCCCAGCACACCTGTGTTCGGGCGCCGCGGCCCGCGCCGGAGAGCCTCAAAGCTTCGTGTCTGGGACTGACCCGCAGCACGAAAGTGAGAGGGCCCCCCGTACTGTACGGCACTGGCAGCGCGGTGTTGAGCAACGTTGCTCCATCCACGGAGCCCCGATGACAATTTAGGCCTAGCGACGAGTACGGAAGACCGCGCACTCGGCGACAGCCACCGAGTACGGCAGCGAACGAGTTCACTCGTTTTCCAGTCGCTAGCTTTTGGGTATACAAGCGACGAGTACGGCATAGCGCACGGACGGTGGCGGCAGCCGAGTACGGCACCGCACGAGTTCCCGGGTTTTCCAGTAGCTAGCTTTTAGGTGTACGCACTAACTCTTGCTACATATGCTGGATAACTACCACGTATGCAGAATAAAAACAAAACCAACTTTCCTCCTATCTTTAGGAGCTAGCGGAACAGAGGTAGGTGCCGCTCGGCCTGCGTACTCGTTGAACTACGTTGAACGAGAACGATCCTGACGTCACGTTCACATAGCGGCTGATTTTCAGTGTTGCCGGGGCATCGAGCGGCCAGTTTCAGTTTTGTTGGCCGCGCCCCAAACAAAACTTTGAGGCGTCAATATCTTTAAAACTACGCACACAATAACGAGAAAAAAACAAAACAAAACGTCATGATCCCAAAATCGAAAGTATGGACCGGAGTTGCCCTTTAAATATTTATTTTATTTTGTTGTATGTATCACTGTTCGAAATTTATAATTTGCATGTTTTATGCTTTTTAATTTAACGATGTCTTATGCCAAAAAGGTTTGTAGCTTACCTAGGGCGATCTGCATACCATTTGCATTGAGAGTATACTAGCGCCACTTTTATTTGAAGACTTGGCTTATTTGTTCCAGCCTGAGCTGTTCAAAGAGACAAAAGAGCACAACAAACAGAACACGCGTAGTTGTTGAGCTGGTTGCACCTGTAGGTGAATGCTTGTCGTGAATGAGTGCCGATGAAATGATCGGACGTCTTTTTTAATGTCTAGCCGGCGTCTAGCAATATAGCAATGCCGCGGCTGAAGGCTACAGCCCCAAAGCGGCTGAGTTCAGCGAATGAAAACGGAGTGATCGACTTAATAGGGGACGGGGAATGTTCTGGTTCGCGCTTGTCACTGATCAACGACGAGCCTGAAGATGCTGTCCCGTGCGCTCCAAAGAAGACCAAACGTGAGCTATTCCGACGATGTCTGGCTTGCATTAAGAAATATTTTAATTAAACAACACAAGTCTGGTCTTGACGTATAGCCTGGTATCTTCCGTAGTCATTGACGATTCAAGTTATTTGTTGAGACTGTTTCACGGTTACAACTCAACGAGGCGACTCTGCGCTGCTGTGGCTTGTAAATGTAAAGTGTGCTGCTCACGCTTGAGGCCTTGAGGCACTCAGTCATAAAAGCAGCCTACAAGAAGTTCGGGACAGTACTCTTACTGTGGGAAACTTCAGTTCCAAATGATCAAAAGTAAAGGCACACTTGCCGGCGTCGACGAAAACCGCTAAATCAGCCCATATTAGCAATATTTAAAGCCTGTACAGAATTTTACGGAGTTACGGATTTGCTCGTTCTCAGTGATCCCAGCAGGATTTTAATTAAGTGCGTTCCCTTATTTTTAATAATTAAAAATTAAATTATTCAAATGCAATTAATATCCAGATTATCTCAAAGGCATCAATCGTTTTCCTACGCGATGCGTAGTTTTCACGGGAAAATTTTGACCCATATAGACCCACAGATTCTGTGAAACGTCTTGCATTTGAGTGCTGCTTCTGACAAAGAGCCAGGCAAGCTTTGACAACACTATGGGTTGGAGCTTCCCGTAAGACCATTTTGATCTTCTTTCAGGAAAATCGAAAGGACTGTCACCCATGCAGTTGGAACTGAAACACCTCTTGTCTCAACACGAATTCATCATTGTGGGGATTCCGGCCAACCACTGCAAGGATCACCAGGATTTGTTCTGTTTTGGTCAAATCAGGTTTGCCCTGGATCATCGGCTTAGTGACAGTAGTGGTGCCCTCTGTCAGAGCTTGTGTGACTCTAAAGTCTACATTGGCTGGTGCAAAGAACAAACAAGGTGCCAGGTTATCTACTGGGACACTGGCAAGGTATGGCCACATGTGTTGCTTCTTGCAGACCAGCTTATATTATGCATCATATCTGTTGCTGCTGTCTAAGCGTCTTCAGGTTTCTTTGACACGCTGCTAGAATGCCTTTCATTGATTCCCAAAGTGTGCATAGTATTGCAGTTGGTGCTCCCGTACATGCTTCATGTAATTTATGCTAATATTGGGATTGTTGCGAACCTCTCGAAGCTTGGGTTCTACCTGTTTGAAAGCGGCAGCCTTGTTGGTGGTTGGAGTTTTGCAGATTTGAATGCCGCGAGGCTGTTAGATTTTTCGGTTCAAATCTTGTAAACATTTTTTCAAGGGCTGTGTTAAAATAACTTGAACGTTATAAAGATTTAAGCTCCACATATTTGGAATGTTATAGACAAGAGCCATGGGGACATAAAGTGAAGCTCCAGGTGTAAAAGTGCCATTCTGCAGAATGTCTTTTACACCTGAGTGTTGCTCAGAAAGTTTCTAATTGAAACTGTATGTTCATTTTCTCTAATTGAAAGGCTAATGAGTAAATTTTTACAATTATCTTGCTAATTAGTGTTTTTGCAACCCCTGGCATCTGCCGTGGCTGGCAGCTTGTTCCCAAAAAGTTCCTTTTTTTTCTCAAACATCCTATTTTTAGGGATGTTTAAATGTCTTCATGGGAACACCCATTATAGAGGATCACCTTCCTACAGCTTGGTATCTGCAGTGATGGAAGTGCTGTGCTATTTGCGCCATCAACGAAAGTGTGCTACATCTTGTGCCAAAGCGCCATTTTTGCTAAGAATTGCGCCATACTTGCGCCGAGGTAGGCTTGAACAAACCAAAAAATACAAATATTTTATTATTCGTCAATCCTAATATCCATAAAAGTAGAAGGAAACAAAAATGGTACAAATATCTATATCACAGCTTGTTTATTCACCATATATTGTGTTTCGTCGTAGGTCAGAACACAGTTGAAGGCTCAAATGCATATAGTCACGAACACACTCTAAAAGAGCAAGTCAAGGGACATTCGCAGCGCTTGATTGGTTTAGCCGATGAAATGGCATGTACAGATAATTGACGAACGCCATAGTGTTGCGCTTTTGATGCTGCGTGATTGGTCCCATTGACTCGTAGCGTCGCCTGGACTTTGACTCAAGATGAAACAAAGTGTAGAGATTGCTCTCAACTGCGCTGGCCCCGTCATTGTCTGAATTTTCAGACAATGTCGACGATGACAGGAGCTAAAAGTCGTGAGAGAAATGGCAAAAAAGTGGGGTGGCGGCTACTGTAATAAGACGGATCCAGAGCCTTGTACTACTGATGATATTGCTTGACTATCGTGTCCATTACATGCGTCCATGGCATGGCTACAGCGTACCATGGCACCTTCACTGCTCAAGTCAACCGTCACGGCTTCGTATCAGCGTGCACGCTTGTTGATTTTCACCACTTTGCACTGGAGTGCTAGGAGCAACGGTTAACATGGGGGAGCGCGTGGGTTAGCGCTAATGGCTCAGTAATTAGACTAAGTACTATTATAGGTCGGCTTTCTTTGGTCTTGACTGTAGGTTGACCTTTAATTTTAAAAGGATGTGCCAAGGAAGGAGACAAAATGCGGTTCTTTATTTGAATAAACATCGCAGTCAAAGTAGTTCCTGTGCAGCAGTCAATCGAAAGGGCAGCAAACTTCTGCTCAACTCTGGTTCGAACGCCGCTAAAGTGCAGTGCCACTTTTAAAGCACAAATGTAGATTTTTATGATATTTGTGGGTGGTTGTTTTTTCAGTTATTATATTAGAATCTTGAGTTTGGTGTTCATAAAACTTGCGGGGACATATTTTTATCGATAGACATTTCAGCAGATATGCTGATTTTTGCTGACATTTTACAGGAATTTACAGGCTAAATTAACTATATGAGTGTAAAAGTGGGGAGGAGAGAGAGACGATTTATCTCAACTGAAGTGTTGTGCTATGCCTAATTTTCCAACTATATTTTTTTAATACCAATTGTAAATGGAACCTACTCTGACATACACCTTATTTCTAAAAAGAAGACTGTGTGATTCTTTTTCATTTATTCTTACTACAATATACAATAAGTCATATTCTTCAGTATCAGAAAGGAACCTTCAATCATTTTCAGATATGAACTCATTTAGCGATGCAATCACATTTTCAAGTGACGTGCTAACAGACGTTGGCTCCAAAACCGTCAGTGGCTGCTCCAAACCAATATTTTGCCTGCTACAAAGCCTGCTACAAAACATCCAATGCCACTTCCATCACTGCATTTCTTATCTAATGCATACCAGTCCAGTGATAGTCTACAAATGTGGTTCTCAACCATTGATGTTTCGCGGACCCCTTGTGGATCGGTGGAGATGATAGAGGACCACGTTTGTGGTGAGGGGAAGGGAAAGGTATAGCTTAATTATGATAATGATTTAATAAATGGATTTAACTAAAAGCTAGTTGAAGTATACTTCTCTCATTTACATACACACTAGAAAACTCGCTTGAAAATTGGAATGTTTCTTCTAAATCTGAGAAAAGGTCAACTTTTATGGCCGTGCTCTACTGATGAGGCAGGGCTTGCGGACCCCTAGAATTCCTTCGCAGACCCCAAAGGGTTCGCAAACCCTCATTTGAGAACCACTGGTCTATAGCATCAACATTTTTGATTTAATATAAAGACAGCTCCAGAATGTCTAGAAAATTACATTTTTTGTTTTCAGTGTTCATAATTGTACCAGGGCACATACATTTGTAATTTTTGGGAGGTTCAAAGATGCTTTGTACATCATAATGATTAAAATTTTGGTTAACCTAATATTTCTAAGAACACATTTGGGGTTCACGATCTCCAAAGAAACCTGAAGTGCCCTGGGTGCATTGAGGAAATTAATCCTATATTGCTACACTACACACATCAGGTGTCTGTAGAGCACATGCAGGTGCAAAGATACTTGTAACAAGTATCTTTGCACTTGCATGTGCTCCACAGACACCTGATGTGTGCGGTGTAGCAACTTAGGCTTAATTTCCTGAATGCACCCAGGGCACTTCAGGTTTCTTGTTCTCTTACCAGCTTAAAAGGATACTGAACCGAAATTTGGATTTCGCACAATAAGGCTGCAGAAGCATTGAACAGGATGCTACGAACTCCAATACTTCACTCATACATTGATATCTCAAACAGTTGGCCGTACTTTTGGAAAAGAATAGCGCAATCAAGCGAGGCCTATTACTTCATTGTCCTCCTGCAAAAATTTGAGAATGAGGGGAAGTGGCCTCTCCTCTCTCCTCCTCGCTTTGGTTCACCAGCTCGACGGGACATACTGAGGAGGAGAGGGAATGAGAATTGTGACGTGACTTGCCTCGTCTGCCGTGTTCAGTCGTGCACTTCTTTTCCGAAAATTCGGTCAACTGTTTGAGATATCAATGTATGAGTGATGTTTTCTCGAAATCTCGAAATAAGATGATAAAAGTACACGCCATGTTTTTTTTATTGTTTCCAGTGGCTGACTTGCCCGGCTACACCCTCTGTGCCGGAAAACGTCCTCCTTGCTCTTCGAGTTCACAGTACAGCTGCGTCCACCATTTCCAACAACCTTCATCATTCTCATCGACATCGGGGTATTTTCCTGTGCATCATTGCTCAAGTGGAAGCCCTCGGCATCTCTTTGGGCGTGTTCCTTGCCCCGTTCGGAATTTCCACATTGCATCACCCAACTGACGTGCCGCGCCACAACGTCAACTCTGAAATGCAGGACGTGGTTCAGCATTTTTTTGGCATTGCTCACCCAAGTATGTTTTACTTTACGGCGGCATCGAAGTGACTTTTAAAGGTCAATTTTTGTGGTATATAACTGAAGTTCCATGTTGGCATTTATTTCTTTCAATGCGGAGGTGTTTTTATCGGGTCTAGTTTCTCTCGCAGATTCAGCTTTCGGTAATTAGTGGAGCAAGACGAAAATTTGGGGTTTATCGGGGCTCATGTTAAAGAAAATAAAACACGTGCTGGGGATTTCCCAACATCGGGGGACAAACATGTGACCTGAATACTTGAAAATGTCTCTGTACCAATAACAACAAGAAATGAGATAAGATTAGTTGCTCCAAAGCAAGAAGAAGCCTCTGTGTTCAGGGCCAGGCTGTGTTCAGCTCAGGTCCAGGTGAGCACAAAGTAAATCCATAGAGATTTTCATCCCTCAGAGCTTCTTGAAGCTTGTTTTTTCCTTATTCAAGGGCAGCTCCCACTGGAGTTTTTTTTGCCGATTTTGATAAAATTGGCTTGGGGGTTAATTTTTAGGGTTTATACGCATCGCAAGTGGGCTCATTTTCGTCTTCTGCGCATGAGAAAGGAAAGTAGCGGTGACATCAGAACACCGAGCCCTGATTGGCTGATTGCGACCCCCTATCTGAGCGTCGTCTGCTCCTTTGCAACGTCGTCTGCGTCTGTCTTACCTTTCCTGTGACTTTCGGAAGTCGAGCGAGCTCGATTTAGCCTTTCAGAGAGGCCAGACGAAATAACTCGAGCGGTACGTTGTTTTTGTCTAACAACTAGCAGACGCGCTTTAAGGAGGGAAGTCAAAGGACTCACTGGCGAGGTGTTCCGAGGCACCGAGGTTTGTTTGCTAAGAACCGAGAGTGAGCGTGCTAGTATCCGGAAGTTTCCTCCCAAATACTTTTTCCCTCCTTTCATGTGCGGTGAGACTCCTCACTCTTTAACGGCGTCGGCGGGTTGGCGCAGTTAACGTCGTCTGCTTTACGTCTGCTAGTCAAAGCGATGGCTGCTTTACCTTTCCTGCGTCTGTCGGAGATTCACCGCTTTTTCACCGGCGAGAGTCACCGTTGCCTGGGGAAACAAGGAGATGACAAGAGGAAGAGATTGACCTCTTAATCTAAAATTGAGGTCAGCGATCGAAGTATAAGACGGGAAGGGTTCACAAGGGTCGCGCGGGCATATTCCATTCAGCACGCCAGCCGGTCGTGGGCAGACGGTCGCCGAGTCGGAGTGCGTACTAGGCCTATCTGCCGTGCTCGTTTGGTCATTGTCGGTGGAATTGTGGCCGTTGGAGCTTTTCCCGGGTGTTTGTGGATCCAGCGTTCTTGTTCGTCGTGGTCTGTTTCAAGTACTTTTTACTTTTTTCTTGCTGCTTGAAGTCGGGACGCGTGAGAAGCGCACATAGAAAAATAAACGTCCGTTGGTCGTTGCAACCGCGACGCTGTCGTCCATGCTGATTTGATCGTAAGAATTGCGTAAGACAGCTTCGGAGCTATCGTAGGATTTCGTCGTAACCTGTGCGAAACTTACGAAAATTTCGTTTCGTGAATACGAATTTGTTCTCAACTTTTGTTCTATGCATACTTTTGGCGTAAGATCGTTCTGTGAACCTTCTGCACTTTAGAAAGTCGCAGGAAAGGTAAGACAGACGCAGACGATGTTGCGAGCAGACGACGTTGCAAAGGAGCAGACAACGCTCAGATAGGGGGTCGCGATCAGTCAATCAGGGCTCGGCATTTTGACGTCATCGCTACCCCCTGCACGAGGAGCAGACGAACTTGCCCTCCGCATTGGTATTTACCGAAAACACAGATCCAGTATAACTCTGGCCAAGGTCTAATCGAGACTGATAGCTCCTTAATTGGTGACGATACCGGTGGTGCTGCACTTATAATGAAAGTGGGAGAGGACGCAAATACATACATTACAATCCATCTCTTAAAGGGCAACTCCGCTTCATTTTTGATATTTAGAGAACTATGTAGCCCTCTTCAATATCATGTAGGAAAACCCCATGTCAAATATTGCGATCTAATTCCGTCTATATATTTAATAAACTGGCCAGCAAACCTTCAAGTGAGCCAAGTCGCCGAAATCTGCCAACTCTAGCGTGCGACGTGAGGCGCAATCGTCAGCGCAGTCAATGCGACGGGGTTGGAGCGGCCAACATTGAACTACTACATCAGAGGCATGACTACGTCATTCTCACGTTCTGTTTGTTTTTACTTCTCAGAGCTAAATTGAACGATGACGTCATGAGTTTCTCCTCCCGGTGTTGACTGATTGGCGTCCACGTGATCACCGTAACGCGGATGCGCTAGTTTGCGCTGCCCTGCGCGCTTATCGGTCTGTTTCTCCGCTCCCCCTCTCCTCTTTCGTCTTCTCCCTCGGGCCATCGCCGTCCATGCCATGCGAAGCGACCTGCTTGCATCGCGTGTTCTGTCCCTCGCCCCCCCCGAACGTCACAAGACCACGTGGTTCGACGTGACGTGGCCATGACTCTGACGACACGAGACCAATGTTGCCTGACGCAACCGAAGTTTCGGTTTCAGTATCAGCTGATGTTTAAATTAAGATTACACAAATAATATTCCACATTTTGCGAATTTGAAGACGTAGAGCTGTTTAGTAGTGCTTTGTGAAATGGGATCACATGTAAGCCTCAATTTTTCGGAATTGAGTGGAGTTGCCCTTTAAGTGCCTACGCCGAGTTCGAATGGGCATTGCATCCTTTCTCTCGAATTTTCAGCAAAGGTTTCAGCAGTTGCCGCTAGTTCTCGCGTGTTCCGCTTAATGAAGAAAATTGAGAAAATAAGAAAATGCACTAGATAGTTATGCGAGGTCTTGAAATTCTCTTTAGTGTCCCTTCAAGCAAGAAAATCCTGACACTTGTTTCAAACTTTTTTCTCGTCATAATAGTTTGCCACTGGAAAAGCTCGCTAAATAAACCTCTTCAGGTTGTGAATGTTTACAAGCGGTGCAGGATACTATCTGGATTCCTCTTGTGGTGGTGTACTAGATGTAAATAGACCTAGCTCTGGAGGCTTCCATTGGGTTAGTGAAGTGGCCTTATCACGCCATGTTTTCTGTCCCACTAAGCCAGAGTGATGAGTAAAAGATATCCTAGCTTACATAAAGGATTGAGTTGTTAACATATGGGCATTTCCTTCCCTTCACACACAAAGAGGCTTCCAGATAGAAATCCTCTGTTGTGTATTGAGGTACAGGAATTAAATACCATATGTCTAGCTGAACGCACCTGAATGGCCTCTCGGTAAAGGCATGGCCAAAGTAATTTTTATGGACTGAGCACTAATAACTGTGAGAGTAATTAGGGAGTGCTAGTTGTGGATACAGTAATGAAGCTGCAGCTACTTTATGTGAAAGATTGTATAGTTTTTTTGGACAGTATCATATCAACCGAGATATGCACATACTTTTCTGCAGAGGATTTAGAAGCCAGTCATTTATGCGAGACAGATATAGGGCTCGGAAATCTCATTTATGCTGGGGTTCTGACCATCTGAACATCATTTTCAATGCCCTAACGCAGCCTGCTTTCTCGTTCCCCAACATGGTTGCCCCCGTCATCATTCTCTGGGTTCTTCCCGTGCACAAACGTAATTGACCCTTCGCATCACTTTCTCCTTAGAAAAAAAGAAAGTGTAAACCGCCGCGATGCGAGGACGCGTCGCGGCAGTTCACACTCACTTCGGCAATTTCTTGATTACCAGCCTTCTAGGAAGTGAACCTTGTTGCCGTTTGCAGGGTACCCGATACGGCAGCAGTTCCCAAGACAGAATGTCGACGAGCTCTACATGAGAGTCGCTGAGGCGCAGGCGTCGCAAAAGGAATCGGTCGACTCGTCCGATGTGGATGTGCAGCACCCCGGACTTGTGCCCACGCTCCGTCCCTACCAGCGGGACGTTGTCAGGTGGATGCTTTGCAGGGAGAGGCAGCCCCCGGTAGCTTCCGAAGGCAACTTCCTCAGCACAACGGTGGTCGACTGCCGTGGGAAGACGCTCGCCTACAACGCTTTTGCAGGCTTGTAAGTATTTGACCTTTTGTTGGGTATTATCAATGTGGCATTTTGAGGGAATCTAAGTGCAGGCCTAAAATAGGGACTACAAGGAGCGTTTATAGAGTAAAGGCCCGTTCACACAGTTGCGTTCGGAGCGACCACTACACTTACGAACGAATGCAACTGGTTGGAACGACGAGTTACCATAGCAACGAAGCGCCAAACGGTCGTTTCGTTCGTGTTCGTTCGCAACGCAGGGAGTTCAGCCGGGCTGAACTTTTTCGTTACGTTCGGGAACGACGGGAGCGACAGACCAATCACAGGTCGAGGAGAGCTCGGTCGCGCGCGTTGCATGCGGGTCGTGCCAGGCTCCTTCTGTCTGGAAACATGGCGTCTGTGGTGATCGTCGCTGTGGACGGCGTGGTGAAAGCTCCTTGTTCCACGTAAAAGCGCTATCCTTGACTGTGAATTTTCGTCGTGTGTCATTATGATAGCCCAGCACGTACTAAAAGGAAATATCCACTTACTCGCGCGGCGACGCCGTGGCGCCACTCTCAAGACAGCAGAAACGCCCGTGCCGTCGTGTTTGTTTACTTCGACTACAGTGATGCTTTCTTAGCATCTGTGTCCTCATACATCACCCGGATTTCTTTTCTGGCGTATTCCATGCGTTTGCTCAAGTTCAAGGTATTACTGGTGCGTACCGTGTGAAGGTAGCGAATTTTCACGCGTTTTCATCACCCGAGAAAGGTAATTAGTGTTAGTAATCCTGAACGTTCTCAACGTCTTGCTCGCAACGTCTATCTGATCACAAAATTATATTTCTACATTGCTATATCGCTGCTAAGATTACATCGTCTTTCATAATCGTAGAAAAGGCGTGTGGCGAGATTTGTACTATTGGCAAAGTCGTGTATTAAAAGTCGTGATCGTGCAAGACGGCGTACAGCATCTTTTTTTCTTTTTTTTAATGCACTGCCCTGCAAGCGTATCCTAAGAAATAAAAAAAAAATAAAGTTTGTGGTCATAGAAGACGGTCTGTCTCTTTTCTGTTACGCAAGTGAGTGGCAGCGCATCCCCTTCTTTTTAGAGGCACCGCTGAAACAGCTGACGGCGGCGGAGAGGCGGTCGCCGTGCTGCCGATGCACTGCGCTTGTTGCAGGCTGCAGGGTTACTACGCGCGGCGCAGAGTGGTCGTTCCGGTCACAACGGACGCAGTCGTGGATAACGGGTTCGTGTCAGATGTCTGAACCAGCCTTTACGCAGCTATTGTAGGCGAACAGCAGATCTTCGTGACTGTACGCCACAGCCAAAACCTCCGGCTGCTCCGGTGGACCTCGCGTCGGGCAGGAAACCGTCCGCCATGTTTGTAAGCGTACCTGGGTTGCTTCCTATTGGCTAGGAGCAGGAGCTGAAGCTCGTTTCTCATTGGCTGTTGATTCCTGTGGTTGCGTGCGATTGCATGTGTGTGTACACGTCGCGCACGGTTGTCGTTGAAGTCGCAGCGGTTGCATTCGTTCGTAAGCATAGTGTTCGCTCCGAACGCAACTGTGTGAACGGGCCTTTAGCTGCCTGACAGCAAAAGTTTTAGCATTTCTCGACGAATTCACTTTTAAATTTGAAGCACATAACCACAATAATTCCAAAGGATTAGTTCCTTGTAAAAAGCAATACTTTGTCACAAATAAAAAGAAAGAGGCCAATTGAAAACAAACTAGATTCTCCTAAAATTTATTTATTTATTTATTTGCTTTCATTACCCAGAGGGCATTACTGGGGAGGAGGACTGACCGTGGTGCCCCAAGCGGTTAACTTAAGAACTACACGGATGGGGACAACAAATACAATGACTCAGCGCTCGGCCGACATAACCGAACGCGGCGTCAGCGTTCGGGTGGAGTTCGTGTTCTCCGGTGAGGGGGAGGAGGGCCTCTTTTGTTACCACTCAGGCCTGCATGAACAATGCAGCATGCACGGTCCCAGCTCAGCACAAAAGCCTAAGTGGGTCAAGCTCGCATTCTCTGACGACTGCTTTGGGGAGAGATCCGGCACTTAACGTCACTTCGTTGATTGTTAGTATTTTTTACATTACACTGTGCCCCGCGGTCTATTGTAGAAGATGACATGGACATGCCCATGAGGCGGCATGTGCACAGGCCTTACGTTGAGTAAACACCGAGGTGGGGGGAAACAAACGGGCCAGAGCGCCCCCTATAGTTCGATCTCCTGCCCAATTGTAGGGGAGTTACATGAGGGGAATATATATGGTACAAAGATATAAACAATGTGTTCTTAGAAAAGCAAGAATAAAAATGTATGACAGTACATCTAATCTGTATTGCAGAAGTGAAAAGAGCATGGTTGAATTGACAATTTCACAATAAAAAAAATTCTATTTGTGAATGGTGAAAAAGAAAAGAGTGGATAAAGACATTAGTTGTGGCGTCGTTGAACTCTTGCACTTTTCTTTCATGATTGTTTCATTGCGAAATAAAATATGGGTCCTTTGTAAATTTTTTTTGTCAATGCTGGTTTCATTATTATAAAGAATGTTAAATAAACATTTTAGATGATAAGGTAGTTAATGCAAGGGTGCAAGTGAGCTGGACAAGGACAGCGATTAGAATCTTAGAGAAGGGGGACGAAGGACAAACACAAATTTTGAAAATACAGCTAGGTGACTTGTACGTGACTGAAAGAATCTGCCTGGTATAATTAGGGATAGGGACCTCTTCTTCGGTCGTGCACCAGTTGCCTAGCTGTGTTTGGGGATCTTTGTTTGTCCTTTGTCTCCCTTGTTCCCCTTCTCCAGAAATTCCTATCGTCAATTTTTTTTTTTTTTTTTTTTTTTTTTTTTTAATTTTAATTTTTAGTTAGAACGTATGTTTGCAACTAACGCCGTGCACCCTGTGACGCCGACAAGGGGGACGGCTCCCTCGAAGCAGTGCACTAAAGCTGTTTTTATGCACTGGTGTGCTCGGGAACGTTCTAACCAGAACATACGATGACGGACAAGTATGAACTGAAACTTTCTAGGAAAGTAACGATTGATAAAAGGAAGAACTAGCCCAGCGAGGTTTGAACCCAGGAATTTTGCGCGGCAGCCGTTTGCACTGCCAACTTCGCCATGCATGTAGCAGTGTTCAGTGAATTCAAGGGGACACGTAAGCCCAAATTTTAAAATTCCTGGAAAAATTTGTTTTTCAAATTTAAGGTCTTCAGTTTTAGAAACTAATTATACACCCTTACACTAAATTTTATAACCATATGCCAAATATTTATGTTGATATAAAATATTTTTAACACATTGTGAGGCAGTAACAAAGTAAAGGAGTTCATTGTTTGAATGCATTTTTCTCAGTTCCACTTTTTGCTGCAAATTTTACGAAGAAATCTTTTGCTCGAAGGTAAAAGTATACTAACCCCACAATCAAGATCTGAACTGAAATTTACTGGGGAATCGGGCTATTTACTTTGTTTTAAGCTGATGTCGTCATGGAGAGAAAAAACTATGTTTTCAAAAATTGACATAGGACAGATATGCATCTCATATTTTGAGGTCAATAGCTCTTCATGAAATATTTACATCTGGGCCCGTTTGCTCGAAGCACTAACCGCGGCTAAAGTTAGCCGCAGTACCTAGGAGAGGGATTTTGAGATCACGTGACTGGCTCGGTAGGGATGCGGGGAAACATGGCGGTGCCCCAGTGAGTGTGCGCCGCTCGCTTTGGAACTAATATGCCGTTGTGGTTGCAATATCGGGCGCGTTAGTCAGCAACGAATGGTGCAGGAGGCTTTCGCTTTGCCTTACCTCACTTAAACCGCAGAGCATGGGCAATGACATCGCCGCATTTTTTAGATAGTGTTTCGATTCTGGGCATTCCTAAGCCTAAATGATCGCGATAATTGTTGGCATAGCAACGTCTTTGGAAAGCGGATTGTTGATAGCACACAAAAGCAGACGGCGTCCCAACAGACCTCTTTTCTAAATTATCCAAGCACCGAGGTGCATGCTACGACTGTAGTTGCACGCGTCGCACGTGCTGGCTTCTGCAGTAGCAACCGTTCTAAAGCAAAAAGTATAAAACAAATTTTGCCTTGCACGCACGTTCGTTAAAGCCTTATTATGATTTTTTACTTTAAATATTTTATAAGAGGAAGGCCAGCGCGCGTGAACCGTAGAATTACACTTCCAGCGTTCTCCTCACGATGCTTGAATAATTTAGAAAAAATTCTGTCGGGACGCTGTCTGCTTTTGTGTGCTATAAACAATCCGCGTTCCAAATACGTTGCCATGCCGACAATTATCGCGTTCATTTAGGCTTAGGAATGCCCAGAATCGAAACACTATCTAAAAAATGCGGCGATGTCATTGCCCATGCTTTGCGGCATAAGTGAGGTTGGGCAAAGCGAAAGCCTCCTGCATTATTTGTTGCTGACTAACGCGCCCGATATTGCAGCTAAAACGACGTATTAGTTCCAAAGCGACCGGCGCTCACTCACTGGGGCACCGCCATGTTTCCCCACATCCCTACCGAGCCAGTCACGTGATCTCAAAATCCCTCTCCTAGGTACTGCGGCTAACTTCAGCCGCGGTTAGCGCTTCGAGCAAATGGGCCCTGATTTATAAAAACTAGATAGCCCACAGTTTCACATCCCCCCACTTTATATTTAAGCAGTCAAAATGGTGCTTAATAGCTTTATTTGTATATCTTACATATCTTAACAAAGAGCGACACATCTTTTTATACAGGTTTGAAAAATTGTCTTAGAGAGCTGAAAGTTTGTAATACACCTACATCTGATGTTAAATCTCCCCTGCAGTTTTCATTCTGATCACTTGAGTAGCTCAGAAGTTAAATCTCTAGCCAGTGTCCCCCCTTAACTAGTAAGTTACCTAGGTACTTTCAGTGTCCTTTTCCTGACTAGAAAGTCAAAATATATTTGACAGAAAGCTTTTCTAGGGATGAAAGACACTTGTGGTTTCTGAATTTCTTGGAGGAGAGAAGTTTAATATTTATTTCCAGTACATCACACTGGACCCGATGTGGATGGGCACATTGATCAATACTTGAAAGGAGAGAGAAAGGAAGGATAAATGGTAGCTTTGGAGAGATTGGCACATAACTTAGTATGTATTGAGCCACCTTCGTCATAAAACCTGAGGAGACTTGATTGATTATTCTCAAACATCTTTTTGTGCTCATTGTGTGTTATCTCCTGGAGTTGATACAAGGTAGCTTTTTTCTCCTAATAACTTTCTCAAAAAATTTTCCTGCTGAAAACTGTTTTGGCAGGTCAGCCTTTTACAGTGTGACATATATTCACACTGTTTTGCGAGCCCAGCTCTGCGATAGTTCACTGCCGATCAAAGAGAAGTGTTGTAGGAATATGCCCGTCTGAAACCCGGAACAAAAAACATTAATAGACAAACTTGAAAAAATACAAGATAGAGCTGCTAGGTTTGTTCCGGGACGGTGCGGGCGGAGAGACAGCTGTACACAAATGAAGACTGAACTGAATTGGGAACCGCTCTCAGCCCGCCGTAAAAAATTGTGTTTAAAGTTTCTGTTTTTGATATTTAAAAATAAAACTGGAATTAACAGTGAAACTTACTTAAAAGAACCATATTATATTTCTAAATGGAACGATCATGCTTTCAAAATTAGAGAGTACCGCGCCAGGACAAGCATGTACGCCAACTCTTTTTTTGTTAAAACGATACGAGAGCGGAATGGGCTGTCGGAGCTGCAAGAGTGCAGTGAAAATGAAGATGCGTTTAATAAAGAATAAAGGCACACATTCCGTCAGCTGGTGTTAAAAAGCCGTGAATAGTTTCTTCAGAGCAAATCTGTGTCTTGCAGAGATCCCCTCAATACTGGGCAGTGCAAGTGCATCTAGCCCAAATGGGGGCAGGCACATCCGGACCAAAAGGGGCGAATGTAACGGGCTTCTCTGATTTCATGCTCGTTTCAGTTTTGCAAAAGAAAAACTTCCTTTTGCTTCTGTGGCCAGACCAGGAGGAATTTTGGCAGATGAGATGGGACTAGGCAAAACAGTTGAACTTCTTGCATGCATTCTCTCCAATCCCATGCCAGACATTGATGCTCTTTCTGTAAGTACACTAATTTCTTTATTCACCCACTTTATTATTACTATTCTTAATATTATATCGATTGAAATCTATGAGGAGCCTTTTATTTATATAACTGTTGTTCTTTACTGTAGCTGTACAAACCTCCAGTTGACCATTTGTAGGGACCATGGCATATGGCACTTAGGGTAAAGGTCCAATTTCTGCCACTTGTTTTTATGAATATCTGAAACTGATCATTGACAACTATGCAAGACTGAGACAGCAGGCCCCGATTTTGAGCTTACTGCAACATATATCATTTGTAGGGTACCCTTTTTCAGACGATAAGCTATGCAGGCGATCTGGTTGGAAAATGATGCAGTAGTTTAAGGATTTAAAGGGGCACTGACACACCAAAGGTTGTATTTTTTGTTGTCTAAAATGATGCAAATTGCAGTCATAGACGCAAAAAAAAAATAGCACAACGCAAAAAAAACAAATTTCACAATTTTTGGCGTTTCTTTTTTTCCTCTTCTGACATCCTCGCTTCCTTTTATTTGTGACGTCAAAAATGATAAAATTTAGAAGCTTTTTAAGTGACATTTCTATATTACTTAATAATGGCATTCATAAAACATGGTTTTTAACGTAATTGCAAATACACTATGGCCCCTCTTTTTGAAATACCGAAAATCGAAGTCCGGAGTGTTGTCGCCTCCTGGCTTTTTATCCTGCCTCGGAAAACGTGGCGGCGCTGGCAGCGCTCGGCACATTTTGCATTTAGGGTGATCGGTGAGTCGGGGAGTCAGACGAAGTTCTCTTTTTTAGGTTGTTGACGACCTCTCAGACTTCGAAAAAGAAATCACCAAACTGTCAAAGCAACTGGGTTTGGTGTCTGTGCACCGTAGTTTCAGCTGTGGCTCTGCTGGGGCAGCCTTTCACTGAGAACCGGTGTGACGTGGTCCCTCACGTCGCTCACAGAAGTCCACTGCACATTCTCTTTGACCTCGCATCGTTTCAAAGACATTGAGATAGCTGAAAGAGCCCTAAAAGAATTTAAAATTCGAAAGTGAAGCGTCGTCTGCTCACAGCAATAGGTGGCAGGCATGGAGAAGAGCGGTTGATCATGGGACACGAGCGAACATGACACATTGAGTCGTTGCGGTTCGGAGGCTTGAGAGAAACTTGAGTTGCAGGACGACTCAATCTTTGATGTCACTGCACTGGCGCGGATCGCGCGGGAACTTCAAATTCAGCTTTGGGAAATTTTTTTTTACTTCACAAATACTGCGTTCCCAAGTTTTGAACTTTGAGGGTAATGTCTAGGCGTAGTTTTCAATCGTTTCGGATAATAATAAAAAAAAAAAAAAAAAAGATTTTGAACTGTCAGGATGCAGGGATGCTGAACAGAAATCTGGATTCCCCCAAACACACGGCAAAGGCGTGCAACGGGATGCTACAAACACCAAAACATCACTCATACAGTGATATCTCGAACGGATGACCGTATTTTTCAAAAAAAGAGGCGCATTTGGCAGGAATGTTGACATCATGTTTCTCCGAGAAGGAGAGGGAATGGCCTCGCATCTTCTCTGCCTCGCGGCCTTGAGGGAGCGAAGCGAAGAGAGGAGGAAACTAGGTATCTTGATGTCACGCGCCTCGTCGGCCTGGTTTAATCTCGACTTCTTTTTCCAAAAATACGGCCGTCCATTTGAGATATCGCCTTACTAGTAGTGTTGTAGGGATTGTAGCGTCCCGCCTACATCTCCAGCATTGTTTTTTTGAAATCCAAATTTCGGTTCACTATCGCTATGACCCTTTGTCGATGGGACTGTAAACAATTCAGCGGTCTTGGCGAAAATGACATGTTTGCGTTGGAATTCCATGGTTGATCGAGCTTTCCTAACCAGTGAGGTGGCATGCTCAGGTTTGGGGGAGTTTTAACCTGAGCCAGTTGTCCCCCGCTGCTCAGCAAACGGGAATTGACCAACACCTCGAGTTGGGATCGCTTCCTGTGTTGCGTGCAAACATAGAAACAAGAAGGAGTCCATGCATTTAAGGGAATCTGGGTACAGCAGTGTTTATTAGCACAGAAGCACCAACAACGCTTCAGCCAGCAACGGAGGAGTAGGGCCACGTCTTGGTCTCTAGGGCCAAATTTGGCATGCATGTACTTTAGAATAGGTAGAATGCAACTAGCGAGGTCTAGCTAGAATGTGTATTTTTATATTTATGAAAAATTTAAGAAACTTTTGTTAGTCCCTGGGAAATGTCATTTTTGCCATTTTTAATTACTTAGAAATAAAATATGTCTCACACTGATTATTTCTGTTCTTTATTGCATATGATGGTTTAAGAGGAGCAAAGTAGTTTATTTTACTAGGCTCTTTTAAGTGGGTTGCCATGCCCCACATGTGCACAATAACGAAGCTTTTCTGCATGTGCATTGCATCCAGAATATAAAAAAAAAAACTATGTCAAATTTAACACCATATTTATGAAGAGGAGATCAATCACTATAAACTGTAAAAAATTCATTTTGTTATTGTAAATAATAAAATTAATCTTTTCCCCTGGCACATGTCCCCTTAATATTTGTTTGGATTACCAGTTCAATCCACTGAGAATGGCCAGTGAATGCAGCTGTTCTTCACTTCTAGGTCAGCAGCTGTGATACAGAAGTGTACCCAACTGAGTTCCAGGATGACATTGCCGAGGGTGCTAAAGTTGAGTGCTTCTGTGGGGATTATTTCAACTCGTGTGGCATCCCTGAAGAGATTGTGCTGTGTCCCGAATGCGGTGTCTTTCAGCATGTGGCTTGTACGACCAAAGACGGTCTCTGTTCTGAAGACCGATACATGTGTCCACAATGCTGGGTGGATCCCCATAGGGTGGGTGTCCTTTTTGTTCCTCCAGAAACTAGCCTGAAGAAACCCTCGGTCCTTCGAGAAGTGTTTTAATGTCGTTCCCCAGTGTGGCGCTTCTCGTGTACTGCAAGATAGTGCAACTTGCAGACGCGGTAATGAGTGTTGATATCTCTTGAAGGTATATTTTAGGCTCCTGAACAAGTCGGGGCTCTAAGCTCTACAATAAGTACTTGGACAGGAACTTCTTCATTTGCTGTGATTGGTCACCACTGTGTATGACAGGTTTGTAAATGCCGTCAAGATTTAAAGGTCTGCTTTGGAAAGTTGGGGCCGATTATATGAACAATTCGCAACTTTCATGAGTTTGTGGCAGCGCCACTGTGACAACCACCAACTACTCTGGGTTGCCCGAAGGTCATTCAAATTGCTGACAAGATTACTCCCACTTTCAACGCTTATAAGTCATAGCTCCGCCTGATGTTACGCTGCCACTGTCTAGTTGGGGGGTCGGCGACCCGTGGTGCGCGGACCACATGGCAGTATTATGCGGCCCCCAGTATGACACCAGAAAAGACCTTTCACCCATCCCCTCTGCCACCTCCTTACACAATCTCAAGGACTACACGGCAGTAAAGACCTGAAATGATGTCAGACAGGAACAATAATAATAATAATAATAATATAATAATAATAATAATGCTTTATTCGGTTTCTAAAACCCGGGCGACAGTGAAAAGGCTATTGCCCATGCCATAGAGGCCCACTGTACCCGCTACACAAACATATATACAAAAAAAAAAAAAAGTATATATATATATATATATATATAAATCTTTGTACACTGGGATTTGGGTCGGATTGAGTGTCAGATCACAGTTCTTTCAGATGGATGGTTGCACATTTACACAGTTCCTTTATGTCCGCTTTGCTTTCAAATGTCCCTTGTGTGACGTCACTCGGGAGGGAGCGCCAGAGCTCGATGGTTCTCGGGAGGAGCGTGCTTCTATGACGCTCCGTCCGTCCAAGGAGGGGTTGTAGTTTATCGGCGCGATTCTTCCTCACATACCCTAGGAGAGGCGTAGGAGGGCCACCCAGCGTGCAGGCTAGGAGGCGGAGCGAAGCCACCTGCCTACGGACAGACAGGCAGTTCCACCCCACAGCTCCGAGAAGTTCCGGGGTGCCAATGTCCCTGTATTGCCTCAGCTGCGGCGGCGATTGGCGACGGAGGATAGCATAGGCCGCGCGCCGTTGCACACTCTCCAGCGAGGCAATTGCGGCGACCTGCCTAGGGCTCCACACCGACGAGCAGAACTCGAGCTGCGGGAGCACTAGTGCGGTGTATAAACTCCGCAGTGCCTTTGGGCCGGCCCCCCTTGACACTCGTTGGACGAAGCCCAGCGTGCGTCGCGCTCGCGAGAGCACCTCGGTAATGTGGGGGGAAAAACGGAGGTGCGGATCGAGTGTGACCCCCAACAGTTTTGTGCTCTGCGTCCTTGTGATAAGGCTGTTCCGTATCGTCAAGTCAGGAGAAGGCGGAGGCTGTCGGGTGGTGGTGAACAGCATTGTAGAGCACTTTTCCGCATTGAGGGGTAGCCTGTTTTTCATGGACCATTCTTCAATCTTGCAAAGGTCCTCTTGTAGCCGTTTGTAAGGGTTTCTGCCCCTGATAGGCAGAAGGAGAGTTAAGTCGTCGGCATATAAAAATGGTGTTGAACTGAGGGAACGGGTCACATCATCAATAAAAATGTTGAAGAGTGTTGGGCCTAATACGCTGCCTTGAGAGATGCCCGAGACTACTTCTAAGGACTCGGACTTAGCTCCTCGAAATACAACCCTCTGGCTTCTGCCTGTTAAGAAATTTGCAATCCATTTGTGTGTTGCACCTGCCACGCCAAAGCTCGACAGTTTCCACAAAAGAAGGCTGTGGTCGACTTTGTCAAATGCCTGCTTGAAATCCAGCTGGACCAACTCGCATGCTGTGCGGTCGTCCAAGCATTCACTTACTTGGTGCACCAGTGTGGCCAGAGCAAGCTCGCAGCTACGGCGTGAGCGGAAACCGTACTGGTGAGTCGAGAGTAAGCTCCGCTCCTCCAGTTGATGAAGCATCTTGGTGTTAATAATTCGCTCCATTGTTCTGCACACAATTGATGTAACAGAGATAGGCCGGTAGGAGCGCACGGACGTGACGGAAGTGCCGTTTCCCTTGTGGATCGGTTTAACCAAAGCCGTTTTCCACTTGGATGGAACTGACCCTTGTTCAAGAAGTGATGAGAACATGATGGTGAGGATCGGACAGAGTTTTCTTGCACAAGTCTTGAAGAACGCTGGGTGTATGCCATCAGGCCCTGCTCGTTGGGACGGATTCACACTTTGCAATGCCTCCCAGGTGTCATCACAGGTTATGTCCAAAGGTGCAAGAGGCTCAGGAAGTGGGGGCTGGTCTCCCAGAAAGGAATGAGCCGGAGGATTTTCTCGCGGTGTCCACGCGGACGCAAAGTAGGTACTGAAAATGGCAGCTGTCTCTTGAGCTGTTCTTACTGTTATTAACAAAAAGTGATTCCAATTGGCATTGTCCAGCATCCCCACACTTGGACAGATAACATCGTCACTTTTTTTGCGCTGGTCCAAAGGAGGGGCAAAAAAGCTATGTGATGGAGAAAAATTCTTCGTGTAAACACGATAGGTCAGAAACAACTTTCATCTAAATATATTCAGTCAATGGTCACTCGGGAAAAAAACATTTTTTCGGGTTTGAACTTCGTCTTGACCTTGAGGAAGCAGCGTCCCAGAAAGGGTTATGTGTACAGCCTCTTCTCTCCATCTGGAGGCAAGATGATCAAAAGATAGATAAAACAAGTGCAGGTTGGCTTTTTTCATACTTCGTGTGGCATCTTGGTCAATGACATACTGCTGGAAAGTGCTTTGTGAGTGCCACTAGCAAGATCTGTTTTGACTGGTGATTGCCACACTGGAAAGATACACATTTTGCTGTTGTGCCCGATTTTCTCAAACTACATCTGTACAATTTGAGAGGCGAGTTCCTAGAGAGGTGAGTTTCCAAACAATAATATAGTCAACGGGTGATTTGCTTCCTAGAATTGTCTTTTATAATTGCAAGGGAAGGAAGAACTCGCGTCCTGGATGCTCGCAGATGCAAAATATTTCAAGCTGAAGCAAATTTTTTTCCACCACCAGGTTACTGAGTCTAACCTTTATCATTTCCCTTGCTGCAAAATGTTTGTGTGGGAGATAAGCACACCACTTTCCACAGAAAGACTCTATCAAATAATTTGTTATTTGAAGGAGGAGTTTGCTGTTAATTTCTCTAATTTTGAAAGACATTTGAGCAACATTTGGATCTTCTGGAATCTGTTAATATCAAATCTCGGCGAGATTTCAAAAATTTACCAGATGGAGCTGTCTGATCTCCAAATAGGCAGTGAGTTGAAAGACAGATTTTATTATTATAAAAATAATCTTTATATTTCCAGACATACATGTGTCTGAGGTGCCGCTGCAAAAGAAGACAACATATCTTCTGACAAGGCCCTCGGCCCCTGATGTGAAAGACCTTGTTAAATTTTACGCTGACCTCACGGAATTGAATTTTTTTTATTTCGAAGAAACTTGCAGTGGCCATGATCACAGTGTTTGGTAGCATGTACATCTGTTAACAGACTTTTTCGAGGAGGAAGTACATCGAGCCAAACTTGCGTCCATGACTGACCTACAAGCACCTCCACGATTTTTTACAACCGTCAGTGAGCAACTTTAACATGTATCTGAAGCTTGAGGAAGAATGTTCAGCAGCAGAGCTCACGTTGAAAAGATTCTTTGCTTTTATAACCTATGTTTGTAACCTTGTGTCATACAGGCTTAAAATAAGCAGCATGATTTCTATTCAAGTTTTAAACATTACCGTCAATTCAGGCCTTTTTTTTTTTTTTTTTTTTTTTTTTTTTGTTTTTGCATTTTTTCTTCTTTTTTGACTTGCCGCCCAGCCTCCTTTGTGTCGGCTCCATGACGTCTCGGCCCGACACTGCAAGAGATTGCCGACCTTTTGTCTAGATTATTATATTTAAGAGTAATCATTACGTCAAACTTAGGTTGGTCTGCTCATTTTGTGAATGTTATACAGATGCTTCCCGTAAACTGTGGTCTTTACAACGGCATATGTGTCACTGTACTGCAGAAACAAAGCTCGTGGCCTGCACTTCTTTGATTCGTCCACTATTGCAATATGCAGGTGTTTTATGGGACCCGCATTCTTTGACATCCATTGATCAATTGGAACGCGTTCAGAAGAAGGCACTTCGATTAATTTATAACGCATACGACAGGGAGACGACTGTATCATCCCTGTATGTCTCCTCCGCATCACCACAGTTACCATGTCAAAGGAAAGTCAAGTGTTTGAAGTTTCTGTATAGTCTGATACACAATAAGATTGGGTTAAATTCCAACGACTATCTGAAATGCAACGACAGCTCCGTGACACAAGGCGGAAACACAAAAATTTGCTTCACGAGTTTCAATGTAAAAAATACATTCTTAAATATTCTTTTTTTCCCTAGAACCATCTGTGATTGGAATGACTTGCCTCAAACTGTGACAAGCCTTGCTACATATGATTGTTTCGCTAGAGCTTTAGACGATTCTGTATATAAGTAAACATCCACGCAATAATATTTTTGTATAATTTAGTATATGACATTTTGTATTGTATATTTTTACAATGTGTGCCCTGCAACTGTACATGCAACCATGTCTTTGCCCACAAGATTGGGTCGACAGTATTCCTGAAATAAATAAATAAGTAAAGTGGAAACTACGGTAAAATACTGCGGAAGCACCCACTTCACTTAAGCGCCCACATCCCTCAAACTTGGGAATTCTGCATATTATATGTTAAGCTCCCGATTTGACCGGACAAGCGTCTAGATTAACCCGATTTTCAGTGAAAGTGGTCTGGGCGCTCTTCCGGTATATTACGGCAAGTTGATTTTTAGTTTCTCGGCTTTCGGGCTGCTAAATTTAGGGCTGTTGTTAGAACTCCTCTCTGAAATATATTTTGAAGCCGAATAGTACCTAAGTGCAAAGATGAATATTTCCAGTTAATCTAAGGGATCAGACATCTTTATATCTGTGATTGATGCCTTGAAAGAGTGGCTCTGCTGTATTAGTGAACCCCCTTAGCGAACGTATGAACAGTAAAAAGGAACCCCCCAAAAGCAGTCCTAAAACAAATGAAATGGTGTCTATAGCTTTCTTTGACTATATTATGTGATCAAAATAAAAGGGCTTAAAAAAAAATATGGTAGGTATCATTGTGTGCAGTACAGTCTGTTGCATGGCATGCAAAACCAAGTGACCCCATTTTACTTCGAAAATGCCGCCTAGTTATAGAGTCTGAGTTGCGAGTGGAAGTGCAGCGAGTAGTTCTCTGTCATTCCAAGTTGCCTGACCCTTGTGATCTTACTTTCAGGAAAAACTCAAGGTGAAAGCCACCCTGATTGTATCTCCAGCCAGCATCAGCTTCCAGTGGCTAGAGGAGATTGAGAAGCACCAGACTGAGCTGTCAGTCATGGTGTACGAGGGCATCCAAGCCCAGGGCTTCGTGCCTCCCACAACATTTGCAAAGCACGACATTGTGCTCGTCACCTACGAAGTGCTGAAGAGGGAGATCTACTTCACAGACCTGCCAAATTCCAACGGTAAATATTGTCAGGGATAGAAAAGTAGACTTGCACAGAAACTAAAAATAGGCCTTTATTGAAGCAAAATTGCACTTGATACTAAAACAAAAGAGAGAACAGTTTGTTCTGCGTTGGCGACGAAGGGAGGCTGACCTGAAGTAGCGCACTACCGCTGCTTTTATACAAGCCCTGTATTCAAGGAGGTTCTGAAGGATAACAAACGACAGCAGCTGAGAATGAACTGAAACTTTCCAGGAGAACACCGACTAGGAAAAGAATGAACTGGGCCGACAGGGTTCGAACCCTGTACCCCCGCGTGGCAGCGCACGCTTGTAATTTGTGCCGTGAACTCGGCACTATTCTGTGTGCTTGACTCGAAGGAAGGATAGAAAAACGGAGAGCTCTGCCTGGACTGCTTGACTTGACTGAACTGTGGTGTCAACGACATGATAGAGTATTTCTCCAGCATTTTGAAATCTTAGAAGTTTTCAATCAGTGCCAGAGATTGCCTGAAAGCTGCTCTGCAGCGAAAATTTGTGAAACGAAAAAGCAGCCTAAGCTTTTTGAGTGATACTAGTTCATTTGAATACGGCGTGCAAGATTCCACCAAGTCCTTGCCAAATTAGCCTTAAATATTGCTTGCCTTGTTCTGTTGAGGGCGAATTTATTGAAATCTGGATTTACAGCTTGAGGCTACTGAATTCACTCTAAACACCTGCAAAATGATAGAAAAATGTACTGGCTCGATAATGCTCACAAAGAACACAGAATGTGTCCCGCACAAACCACACTCTGTATGTCGTTTGTGCAAGACTCGTCAATCTTTTAATATTCTGTTTTTATTTCTTTTAATTTTCAAGTGTTTTTGTTTTAGTATTTTATTTTTGTTTTAATATTTTATTTTTCATATTTTGATGAATTTTATTGCAAAATATTATTGTTCTTACTATTTTTGTTCCCTGCCACTTTCGCCAGGACATTTGCATTCAAATAAAAATAATTTATCCTTCCAGACCAGCCATGCTAATAGAATATCCGGCTGTCCCAGGTTCAAACTCCACCAGGGCTTGAACTTTACATACTGTATTTATATAAAATTTTAATGTCTGTAGAGCATGTCACTCATTCGTGATGCTCGTGCATGACAATTTTTCTTGAAGAAAATGCCACATAAAACACAGTCCGTGTTAAAAACAGGAAACATGCAGGCAAGCTGGCGAGTTTTCAGCATTGTAAAAACCTAAAACATGAAAGAAAAAAAAAAAGGACTACACACACGGAAATGTTGCAGAGTTGCGTAAGGTCGGCTGTCCGTGCGCCCAGTCGTTTGCAAATTGTGGCGGTCTGTGAAAGCCGAGTCATTTACAGCATTCGTGCGCGTCAGCCGCATACTATCGGTTACGGAAGGCGATTGTGGCAGCGAGTCTCAGGCTGCCGAGTAGCGGCAGCTTATTCAGACACTTGGGAGGTCGTTCAAAACTCGAGGGGCGCCGACCCGATCTCGCAACCTTCCAGCTCCCGGCGGGCGTTCGCTCAGGAACCCCAAAAAATTCCTGCCCGTCCCGTGCCCCCTGACGGCCCCGGAGTGGTGGCGGGTGGCCCTCGACGAGGCCCAGATGGTCGAGGGCGCCGCCAACAACACCAGCAGGATGGCGCTCAAGCTCTCCGCTGTCAACCGCTGGTGCGTCACCGGGACCCCCATCCAGAAGAGCTTGCAGGGTACGACACCCCCCCGCCCCCTCCCGGAACCATCCGAGACCAGTGGAGGCTTTCTTTGCGCGGCCTCCCCGCAGTAGCGCGTCGTGTCCGCAGCCGCCGCCTGTACCGCGGGAAGTGACTTGTGCTTTCAAATTTTGCTGGTGCTCCAATTAGCATAATACTCTTAGAGATGACCTTTCCCCGAAAGATCACCCACCCCTATTTTTGGCTCGATTCGCTACATATTTTTTAACTACATATTTTTTAAAGACCATAAGATGGCCCACTCTTAGTAAACATAGTGTTTGAATCAACAATGACCTCAGTGCAAATGCGGCTAGCTAGCTGTGGTGTGATATAGGAGAATGTTGCTGACTGGGAAGTAGTCATATATCTCTTCTTCATTGCCCCTCACCACAATAATAAGTTTGTCAGAAGCATGCAACGTAAAAAAAACTTCTTTAAAATTTTTCTTGACTGCACACGGAAATTCAGCCTGCTTTTTATTTTCATCCGATTTGCTCTGAATTTTCGGGTGGGCTATTTTTCTGGATATTAAGGTAGTGGAATGCAGCTCTAGCAATATGCCACTTAGAATAAAAGCCTGCGAACGGCTTTTTCTACCTCCACGTAACGCTATCATACTTGGACGGCATCAGACCGATATTTGGGCCCGAGCCCGACGCTGAACGTCCTTCGACGCGTCGACCTAATGAGGTTCAGCCCAACGCCGATGCAGCACTCGCGTGCAGTCTGCATCCACGCTCAATCTCACCGTGATGACGTTGAAAGGCTAGTGCGCGGGCTTCGATTATTCTAGGTGGTGTTGGCTATAATCGAGACGAGAATGGCGGGGAGGTCCATTGGTTGTCTCGCCTCCAGCACAAGCTTCCTACCTTCGTTGACGTTTCGGCGTCTCGCAAATCTTGGGCGTGCACGCGCAGCCAAAGCACAAACGAACGTGACGAGCGCGTGCCAGGGGCCGGGCATCCGAAGAAGGCACCTTGCTCTTCTCGTGCCGTTGGCGCCCATATGAGCATGCGCGCACACCATGCAGAGCTGTTACTTGACGTCCCAACGAGCTCCTTTCATATGATAGTGTGAAACGTGGGCAAGAACAACGTCATAAGCTTCCGGACCGGAAACGGCCAGAACAAAAGAGGAATGGATTCAATAGTTACATTATTATTTCCAAGCTAGCTTGCCTTTCACGTACTTATCACGGATGCGCATAGTTTTTACAGCAAAGCTGCTAAGGGCTAGCTTCCTTAGTATCGTGTCCGTGGACAAACAAATGTTGGCACAAAAATTCCAGACAGCTACTGCCATCAATGAGTGACGGCGGCAACCGGCTTGCCGGTTGTCGTACTGCCGCCATCACTCATATCGTAAAATCCCAAAAGGACGCCTACCCAAAATGAAGAGATAAATGGTGAAAAACATGGGGTGGGCTATCTTTGGGGATGCCACAGAAAAGCTTTATAAAAATTGATGATAAGCGCCGGGGCACTGCTACAAACCACGTGATGCAGAAACTGATACTGCAGATCGCAGACACGGCAAATTCGCGTTTCACGATGTGATAAACACGCGGAAATTTGCTACAAACTCCTGTGTCACGGGAAAGGGTACGGCAAGAAGCCGACGCAGCAGATTCGCGTTTCACGGTGCGAAGGACTCGCGGAAACCCGCCGAGAACTCGCATCTCACGGGAACGAATACCGTAGATCGCGGATGCATCAGATTCAAGTTTCATGATGCAATAAAGACGCGGGAACTCGCTACAATCTTGCCTGTCACAAAAACCGATATTGTGCGCGCAGATCGCGGACAAAAACACGGGATTACGCAACAAACTCGCATGTCATGGAAACGAATACAGCAGATCGCGGACGCAACAGAATCGCATTTCACGATGCAATATACATGCAGAAACAACTCGCACGTGTTACTTACAGTTAAAAATCGATATTGCGCGCGCAGATCGCGGACAAAAACACGGGAATCCGCTACGAACTTAGGAACGGATATTGCAAATTGCAAACGCAGCAGATTCACATTTCACGATGCAATATACACGCGGAAACAACTCGCGTGTTACGCGAGCTGATATCGCGCTCAGATCGCAGACAAACATGTGGGAACCCGCTATTAACTCGCTTCTCGGACACACCGATACCGCCGATCGCGCCGTTGATGCGCGATTCCCGTCGGACATCGCTTGATGTTCAACGGGAATCGGGGGGGGGTGGGCGATGTTTCGGAATTTTTATGTTACAGATATTGTGCCAAAAAAACGGGATGGGCGATCTAAACAATTCTAAGTGTATACATTGTGGGAACCACGTGTTCCCCGCATCCCTATCTAGGCCTAGCTCAGGCAGGCCGTGGGGCGTCACCACGTGGGGGCGCGTCCCGGATGCGAGGGCGAAGCCGTATTCCCTGGTGGACGGCTTTCTCTCGCCCTTCTCGGGTGATTTGCCTAAGGCACACCCTTCGGGATCATGACTTGGACGCGTCCGCCCCTCCGGGGAGCCACCTACATCCAACCCACACCGGGCGCGTCCATTCCCGCAGGCTATATAAGACGGCCCTAATCCAATGGGCAGGACTCTCGCTGGGGGAGGCTCTGCTCGACGGAGCCTTCATATCCTTATCTGATCCTCCCCCTCCTTGATACTGTCAATAGCGGCAGCGCGGACTCAGACTGGCAATCCTGTGAAAAGAGACAGCTCCGTCATCTGCACCATTGTTGGCCCTCGGGCAAGCGTGTGGCATTGTCGTGAAATAAACACGTCTTTATCCGTACCCAAGGAACCTTCTGTGTTTCTAAGTGGTACCCCTAAAAGGGGAAACCCACATCTGGCGCCCCAACGTGCGGCCTGTCCGGCGATTGCAAACAAAGCAGCACTCTCGCAATGACAGCGAACCAGGCCAATTTCCGGCCAAGAACTTCGTGGACAGAGGAAGAGGCGAATGCCCAAAACCCGATGCCACTCAACGGCTTTGTGGCCACGCCAGCCACGCACGGACACAATGAGCAAGTGTCCTTTCAGCCGAGCTTCCCTAATGGGTATGACTCACAATGCCCGGAATGCAACCGTGGCACTCCTTCTCGGAGCGCGCCAGCCTTCATCGCTGAGCAGGGTTGTAAAAGTTACGTAAAAAATGTACCTAAGATACAGTTACTCTTTTGAAAAGGTACTTAGGTACGCACCTAGGTACTTGCTTAAAGATGTACCTAGGTACAGGTACAGTTACTTTAAAGATACTGTCTTTATTTATCTTCCCCAAATTTGTAAAAATATATTGGAAGTACTAGAGCTTTTAACACTAAGGATACACTAAAAACGAGTTCGATAAATGTGTTTTATTGGCGTCAATGCGATGTCCACATCGGTGTTGAGTCCTTACGCGCCTTGTTCCCACGCTCCAGTTGGTTCACCGAGGCCACAGCTTCCACCGTTTACCATGTCACACCGAAACCGCCAAAACTCACTTATTGACGTTCTTTCCCTCAGAGCCGGTGCTGATGCCGACGGGCCCAGAAGATGTCGGCAGCATAAAGAGACGCATGGGTCGAGTGCATATGCACCTAACCTTCGCGACGACGAGCGAAAGGCTTTAAGCTTCCTCGTTTTATTTTTTCTTTCGTTATTCAGTAGAAAAATGAGTTGTTTTTTTTCTTCTTTCAGAACTTTCTTAGTTTTGATAACTGCAAAATTTAGGTCCGATTTATTGAGTGGAAACTGTATTATATATGCAATGTTACATTGCTTTACGATTGTAATTATAATTTATTTGTAATTATATTTTATATTGTATATATGGCAGAACAGTGCCACCACCAGGTCAAGATACGGACAACAGAAACTGCACACATCATTCAAGTTATCTCCTCCCCTGTATGGTAGTCGGAGGAGCTTCAAGCACGCAATGATGTAGATTTTGGTTCGAGATGAAGGAAGCAGGTCGCTATTTTTCCTAAACGGAGTTCCGAAGCGATTAAATAAATTGGTGTCGCTAGAACGGCATCGCTAATTCACCGTTCGCTCAAATGAACACCTACATTCACTAAAGCGTGTCGTTCGATGAAACATCATAGGCGGGGCTTCGTTTGCTGAAACGTTGTTTGATCAAGTCAGGGCCTCCAATGCCGTACCCAACTCAATGTTAATCACGGCGCATGGTAGTGGGTTAATACTTCAAGGTTTATAGTTTCTACCATTTTGACGAAGTGAATAGAAAAGTACCTGTAAAAAGTAGCTTCACTTAGTTACAAGTTACTGGAAAATGTACCTACGATACAAATACAGATAGTACCGAGAAATCAAAGTACCTAGGGTTGTACCTCAGGTACAACAAGAGTACCTTGATACCGATTTCCAGTTACTTGTACCTAGGTATATTACAATCCTGTCGCTGAGCCAAGCCCACCTGTGACTTTCGAAGTCAACACGGGTCGAACGAGACAAGAGACAATGACACAACAGCAGGCAAATGCAGCCTCTTACAGCTTCGATCTCTTAACCTCAGACTGGCCGTCAGCTTCTCCGCACGGAGATAACACTGACGCCGTTTACGAGCCGCAGCACAGCGCAGCTGCTACAGGTGCAACAAACCACTCGGCGGGCCCATACAGAGGGAACAACCCGCCAGCCGCACATGCGGAGAGCGATTCTCACTACAGAGCAAACACGCTTGGCACGTATCACCCCCTGCTAGAAAACGCAGCTCGGGTGATCGAAAGCCTGACGGGCGCACTGCAAACAGCAGTTAGGCCCCCGTTGCCGACACGGCTGCCGGTCAGAATCCCTATCCCGACATACCAAGTGAGTGCGACAGACTTCCTCGAAAACCTGAAAAAGTACCAACAGGCCATGGGAATGTCGGCCACGAGATACTTGAACGCATCTTGCCAATCTCGTTGGTGATCCAAGCGGCACGGTGGCTCTGTCTAACCGGAAGCCAGCTGTCCTCGATCGAGCAGTTCTGCAAGGCATTTCGCCAGGAGTTTCTCCCTGCAGACTACGAATGCAGGATGAGGCGAGAGCTCAAACAACGGACCGAACACCCAGACGAATCACTGTTGGAGTTCGTTAGGGCGATGCAAGAGCTCTTTGAGCTGGCAGAACCCTCAGCGCCCAATGCAGAGCGGGTCGAGCGAGTCATTTGACAAACGCACCCGACTTTTGCGGCGTATCTCCGAGGCAGTCGCTTTCGCGACTTGAACGAACTGGCCTCCGAGGCTCGGCGGATTCAAGGAGACATTCTTGCCGCACGAGCGTATCGTCCCCCACCCCCAGCATCAGCAGCATTCGAGCCGCGCTGCACGTGGAACGGGGACGTGGCGTCCTGAAACAGGAGACACGAAGCCGCCCACTATGCAGACGAGCGAAGTCGAAACACATACGACATATCAGATCGTGCGCTCGACCCATACTCCTATGAACGGCGGGCAGCAGAGACTGCGCCGCAGTTCAACAGGCGAGATCGGACCCCAGCGTTTGCCCCCAGGACGCGGTCCATTGGATTCGGCAATTCTCTCCCAAATGTGAAGAAGGCGGGGGTGAAGCCTGTCGAACGATTGACAGTGGAACGGAGAGCGAACCCAATCTCGGGAATGTATGCGTCCCAGTCGCGGTGCTTTTCGGCAAACGCTGCCAGCATGGGTTTGATGTTTTTGTTACATCGCTCCGTGATGTTTTCCTGTGGGTGGTAGGGTGTGGTTGTTCTGTGCTTGATGCCCAGCGCTTTGCAAGCATCCACAAATACCTCCCCGACAAGGTAGCTTGCTCTATCTGTTAGTAGAGCTTCAACGAACCCGCATTGGGTGAACACCTATATGAGCTTTTCAGTGATTACTCGGGCCGTCAGCTTTCGTAGTGGGAAAAGTTCTACCCATTTGCTGAAGTGGTCAGTGACAACCAATAGATACTGGTGTCCTTTGGGGCTCCTTGGTAAAGGGCCGACCACGTCGCAAGCTGCCAGAGACCATGATTGCTGGCTCGGAGTCGGTTGCATTAGGCCCGGCGGTTTGCCGCCTCTCGGTTTGAAGCTTTGGCAAGAGTGGCACGTGCGGGCATAACGGAAAACGTCCCGTTTCATGCCCGGCCAGGTGGCGGTGCGACATAAATTTGAGTAAGTCTTGGAGCCGCGCGCGTGTCCGCCCAAGTGTGAGTCTTGATAGTAGCGCAAAACTGCGTTTCTCAGACTGCAGGGTACCACTACCTTGAACGCCTCGTCGGAGTCGTTGTCGGAGGGTATGTACCTCAGCAAAAGCCCGTCATTGCTCAGCAGATATGAATCCTCCGTGCCCGCACCAATACCAGATACGTCCCGGCACTTGGCGCCTACTAATATACCAGTAGTGTTGCGCCCGGCGGTCGCACCGCCCGCCTCCACGGCGTCCGACTCTTCCGCGAGTCCGTCGATCACCTTTCGACAAAACGGATCATTCTGCTGGGCTTTCAGAAGCTCTTCTTTGCTGAACACGATTCCCACTGCGCTCACTGCGTCTATGTGGTTCACGTTTTCGTCCGAGGAGGACAGTGGTGCTGCGGTCTGGAAATTTCACCTGAAATTGTCAGAGAAAACCTGGAAAAGTCAGGGAATTTCAAAGTAATAATTTGCTAGACACCGTGTTTACCAAGGGGCAGGGACGGTCGAGGAGGTCTGGGAATCCGTGAGGGTACTCTGGGGAACTCCTGGGAACCCAGTCTGAGAACCCATGGCCTGGCAGTTTTCGTGTGCTTGCAAATGTGTCTTTTGGCCTGTGACTACCAGACCCTTTAGTATGTGTGAATACAGTATTTCGCCGGTATACAAATGTGTACTTAGCACTCTAGTTCAGTCTGGTTCTGGCTGCATTATGTAAAAAGGAAAGATATAAATCAGACTCTATGAAAAAGTGTGGTGGCCCCGGAGCCAGGTGGTTTCAGATTTGATGTTATTGAAAACAAAGTATGATTTTGGAAGCTTTGAGAAAATGAAGAGTGAGATGTGTGATACTGATGCGACATGTTTTGCCGTGTTCGTACCTCCCCAGATTTGTACGGCCTGTTTCTGTTCCTGGGAGAAGAACCGTACGACAGTGAATTTTGGTGGAAGGAACTGCTGTTGATTCCATACTGCAATGGTAATACAGAGCCGCTGGTCTCCTTGCTTTCGAGCTGCTTCAAACGAACCATAAAATGGAATGTCTTGGAACAGGTGGGCATGCTGGGATCTTGCACTTCCTGGCTGTCGCATGCTAATGACTTTAACCCTCTAAACTCGTAAATAGCTGCTAATGTGTTACTAAAAAGTCTTAAAAACTAATTGCTCGTCCTAGCAGTAATAGTTTTTGTAGTGTTAGTACGATGTTTTAAAATACATTCTTAATAACTTTTTTTCACTTTTTTTTTTTCGTGTACACATTCAGTCATGTTTGGACCCATAGTCAAACAGTTATTTTACATTGGGGAAAAGTTGGCTGACAGATGGACTTAAATGTTTAGCTTGATAACATTTTGTACAGGCAAGAGCCTGCCATTGGGAACTATGAAGTTGAGCTTTCCATCCTCATTGCTGGAAAGCTTCTGATGCACCAGTACATTTATACCTTGAGAACTTGAATGAAGGTTTGTGTTGTTTGTACGCATTGTTGATCATTTACCAAAAGTTTTGTCAGTGACACTTGTTAGGGTGTTTTGACCGCAACATCTGAAGCTGTGCAGTATGACAAACAATGAGCTCACTCCCTGCAAAATCAAATCCATTTCTCACTCGTGTCCCTAGATTGGCGTTCCCCCTCAAGAGAGCCACTTTCATTCATTGCATTTCTGTCCCGTGGAAGAAGTGTTCTACAAAAGGGAGGCTGAAAAATGTGCCTCTGCATTCCTGGAACAAGTTCGGAAGTTTCCAGATCACAGTGTCAAGGTTGAGAAGCTGGACAGACACTCGGTCGGATTGGTGAGTGGACTAGTTTGCCGACTTCATGTCTGCCTAAAAACATGGGACCTGGTTTGAACGAACCGGGCAGTTTTAGTGTTGTCCTACGGAATTTTGAAGTAAAAGGGTTCAGACCCGCAGAGGAATGTTTATTGGAAGCTGAAGTTTAACTGAACAAACACGTTTCGGAATGCTTCTTTCATTTTTAAGTAACTAAAATAAAAAAATGCCATTTCAAGGGGCTAATAAACAATTCTTAAATTTTTCATAAATATAGAAGAATATACATTTTAACCAAACCGAGATACTTGCATTCTACACATTCCAAAGTATATCCATGCCAAATTTGGTTGTGATAGAATAATATTCGGAACAAAAATACAGTCGAGCCCGGTTATATCACATTCGGGTATTCGAATTATTGTTTATATCAAACAGTTCGAACATCCCCTTGAAATTCTCATGTAATAGTATAGGATTACTGTCTTTTTGCATCCAACTCCCTTGGCGGGGACACTCGATATAGCAAAGGAAGCCCGGGGCAGCCCGCCCATTGCTTTTTCGTTGCTTTTTCGGCGATCCGATTGTGCCGGTGGCAAGCACATCGCTTGCGTTGCATGGCTGGCAGACCGCCAAGCCAGCATACAGGCGGGAAGATATGCAGGGAAAGAGCAGTTGTGGGAAAAGCGAGACAATGAACTGTAAGAAAAGAAAGTGGAGGATGGCAAAAGCAAGGGGAAGGACATGTGCATGCGCGTAGGGAAAGTGGGGAGTGTTTCGCTGTTGGAACGGTAGCCTGTTCCCTTTCCCCGAACACCGCTGATGCTGCGCGACTCCCTAGCCCCAAAATAAATTAAGCAAAAAAAAAGTCCGGCAAGTTGAGTGTGTCAACAAAAATGGTTATGCAATCAAACTTTGAACACCTTATCTACCTTTTTCTTTTGTCGTTATTGCTTTGCCCGTGTTTGTTTTCTTTTTGCCTTTCTTTTTTGCTGCTTGCATTTAGCGAGCTTTCTTTTTTGTTGCTTGCTTAACTTTTTTTTATGGATCAAGAGATTTCTTTTTGTCTCGCTTTTCCGTTTTTATTTTATTTATTATTTTTGTGTTTTGTCGCTTATGCTGTGTGGAGGTTCCGGCCAGGCGCGCATCTAAGCGCGGCGGTGTTTGCGGTCTCTGCCAACTACGCTGTACTGTATGTAGCGGCTCTTGGATGCTCTATTTGGTAAGCTCCCATTTGCCGCGACCTTTGATATTAGCAGAGACGCCAGGAAATTTGAACTCGAGCTTACCCGTAATATCCCGAGTCATCGCCCACCCCCCAACCGCCTGAAATTCATTAAAAAAGTGGGGTGGGCCATGTCTCGGTGGGTGAGCACAAACACTTGAAAAAAAGCGGAAAAAACCGCCTATTTTTCTTTGCGTATCTAGCGCTGATGCAAAAGAGATACATCAAACTCAAAACTCGATTTAGTTTCATTGTTTTATAGAAAAAAAAATGCTCACGAAAGAATATTTTACTATAGGGTGTTTTCACTGACGTAATTTCGTCCACCATTTTGTTGTTGCGATCTGTCTGGCGTGTGCCAAACTTGAGCATTTCAATGATTTACATGCCTTCTCAAATGCGTAGAGCACCGATGACATCATTTCAACCGGTTACGATGTAATCCTTCAATGTAGTAAATTTGTTTGAATAACCAAACTAACAACAAAATGGCGGATTGACATGTGCAAACAACCTATATGCGTTGCTTGCATACGCGCTAGAAACACCGCCGATCTGCATATAGCACGAACGTTTGTTCCGTAAAAGAATGTCACCACTATGTTCTCCTAGTTAGTAGAAAAAAAGAAAGAAAAGTCTACAAGAAAATAGAAAAACCGACCAGGCGCAACGAGCGAGCGAGCGAGCGGACCAAAGAAGCGACCAAGAGCAATGCTGGGAAAGCGGGAAAGCCGGCGGTCGCGTTGGCAAATACTTTGGCGTCGGGCCAAGTCGGGCGCCTTGTCAATTGCAAGCTCTTGCGCAACTTTCTTGTTTGGTGCTTACATACGTGCGTCCGTGCACGGCGGGCTATCAATGGACGGTTGGGACGCTCTGCAAACGTCTGTGTAGGACGTTCCAACAAAGCTTTATTTACGCTTTGGCTTTGCCTAAAATATTGCACAACAGCGGTCGCGACGGGCGGGAAGAAGGAGCGGGTTCGCGGTGACCTTACTTCGGCGGAGACAGACTTTGACCTAACACTCCGCGGTTACGTTAACAAACTCTTATTTTGTTATCTCCATCGTTTTCTTTTCGCACGGATACACGACCACTTTGGGGCCGCTCACGGAGGAAATGCGTAAACAAAAAGAAGTGTCTTTCCCTCCTTCGTTTTACTTTGTCACGGACGTCCTCCAACTGTAAGGTCCGCGGCCGCGTCATTCGGGTAGGATGAGTGTTCGCGGATCGCAGAGTCCGCGCTGGGGTATTTGAAGGGGTGGGCGATGACTCGGTGTTTTTTCGGAAATCGATATTGGCCCAAAAAATGGGGTGGGCGATGGCTCGGGGATGGGCGATGACTCGGGATATTACGGTAATTTAACATATTTTTGTATATCAAATTATTGATATATCAAACTATTTTACAATCCCCTTTGAATTCGATATATCCGGGTTCGACTGTAGACCATATGCAAAATATAGCGTGCCGAGTACTATGTTTGCCATCTTGGTAACGGCGAGAAAACGAAACCAGTGATTCAACCGGCAAAGACACCATGTAAACAAGCAACTGCGCTTCGTGCTAGAGATGTGATGCCAACGCATTGCTGCGTTCCACTGCGGATGCAGTGATAATTTTTCGATTTGTGCATGACGTAAGTGCAAACGTGAACAGGGTTCATAGTTTTTTCTTATTTTTATTTGTTGCTTGAGATGCAGCTTTTGACAAAAACAATCGGTGACAATTCGAAGAAACTTGCGGACGTTATCGCGTGGCATGAAGCTATTTACAACTATTGAACTGGGCCCTAATCTTTTGAGAAAGTTGTACCAAATTTGTTTCTGAACTTTTTTTTTTTTTTGATGCCCGTCGTAGTGTTTGTTTGCGTTTTTCTTGATGTGCAAGCAGCTCAATGTATGCGGACAAGACCAAGGCTGTTAAGCAAGGCAAAAGGATGACAGTTTTAATAATCTACACCACAAACCATAATTGAAGATGTATATGGCTAAGTAGCTAGATTTAAAGCTAGAATTCCCAAAGTAGCTAAATTCAGGGCTAGATTAAAAAAAAAAGAAGGAAAGCCAAATAATTTGGAGGCAGTCACAAACTGTCCGCTCCAAAAATTCTGCCGCCCTAGGCAGCTGCCAACTCTGCCTATTGGTAAGTCCGCCCTGGCAATATCGCAGACCCAAAAGTGCTCATGGGCCGAAAATGTTACTTACCCGTTTTGAGTTTAGTCCGTGAGGATGACTCTTACAGCTAGTGCGTGAGGGAAACCTTGGAACTCTAAATGGAAACGAGTTAGGTTTTTTTTCTGACACCAGAATCCATACCTGTTTTATCAGCAAAGTAGACTGCTTAGGTGGCAGGTTTCGGAAGTAACACTCAGGACAACAGATGCAACAGATGGGAGATTAATGCACATATTCCACGGGAGTATAACGGGACCGGCTCCTGCGAACGTTAGAGCAGGTAAAGTGTATCAAACTGTAACTTATCTATGGGGTCATACTGTAAATTTAACGTAGCATGATGTCATCTCGACAGCAGCGGTGTTAACACCTTAACGAGGCCTTGTATCTCCAGCTCTTGCAGCCCCTGAAGCGCTTACGCCAGGCATGCTGCCATCCTCAAGCAGTCCGAGGAAGTTGCCTGCCCATGAGGACCGAGTATGTTGTCCATTTCGAACCGAGCATGTGGCTGGGAACTTATGAGTCGAGTGTGGTTTCAGCACCATGACCATGGAGGAGCTTTTGACGTCTCTCATCAAGAAGACGACCGTGGAATGTGAGGAGGCACATCGACGCATGATATCTGCCATGAATGGTGACTCATTTTCATTTCAGAGATTTTCCAAGGGGAATCTGGTGGCTGGGCGCGTTAATGCACCGGGGCTCAGTAACATGGGGTTGAAAACATGTATAGTACTGTAGACTCTCATTAATTCAATCTCCAGGAAGTCACAAGTTTTGTTTGAATTATCAGAAATTCATCTAAATATGATGCAAAATAAAATTATGATTTGCCATGAGTGGCTACACATGCAAAGCAGATATTTGGTGATTTCCTCTACATAGGCCCACTGATCATAAGCAAGTATGCCACATATAAAATATTTGTGAAATGTATGACATAAGTTTATTTATCCCTCAAAAATTTTGTTTATCGTGAACTGTTTGGGCAGCACTTGACAACTCAAGACAAAATTAAGTTTGTTCATCAGGCCAAGAAGTTCTCTAATGTGGACTATTAAGTAGGGGATACATGAGCAACAAAAACAAACACTGCGCGGCAGTTTTTATAGGAACTTGCGCGGACGCTTTCACGGCGACCTATGCCATGCCGCCACATCACAGCATCCACGCAAGTTGTTATAGAAATTTCTGCATGGTGCTTATTTTAATGCTCATTGAAGCCACATATCTAATTGAGCATTATATTTCTTCCTCAGGCATTGCTGGAATCTACATAATCCAAGATATGCTCAAAGAAGCAGCCAACATCTACAGAGAGGTGCTGTGGTCTGCAAAAGACCACAGCAAAAACATTAAGACGGACAGGCTGCAACAACTGCATGCTCTGCACAACTTGGCACAGCTTCTGGATGCGTGCAAGGTTCCATCCAGCGCCATGACATATCCAGACAAGCCCTCGCTCGGTTGCGAGAACAGAATTGTGAATGGAACGCCTCCAGATGCTTGCAATACATCTTTTTATAGACTGCCAGAACAGAAGCACGATGAAAGTACAGGACAGTACCCTAAAGTAAACATAGTACAAACTGAGGCTAACTGCCCGGAAATGCAAACCGTCTCTCCAGCACCGATAGGTGCTCCAGATATTTGCGGTGATGGCTTGGAAACAAAGTTTCAAGCAGTCTCGAAGAAAGAGGTGTCTTGTACCAAAGACCTGTCGACGGCAGACGCAATAATTAATGTGACTCCAGCCGCTTCTGACAAGACCTCAGCAGAAACGTCTGAGCCAGACCTGAGAAAAGATGAGGCAGACACAACTTTGAAGCTACCAGTTGACAGGACTCCCAACAACAGCTTGGAACTTTTACTGGGCGACACGGATCGTCCACATTCCAGTAAACTCGTAGATGCTAACGTGTCCCGTGTGGAGGGAGTTCGACAAATGGGAACGCCTGCTCTCCTAGTATCTAGACTTACGCAGGGAAGCACCCCAATGCCTGCATTTCGGAAAATCTCGTACATTCCACAAGCTCCAAATGATGACAAACTGGAGGAGGAAGCATTGAAGTTGAAAGAGTCATACCTCGAAGGCTACATTACAAGGACGACCACGGCAAAGGAGCAGATGCTGCAAGCTGTCCAGGTAGTCCAAGAAAATACGAAAAAATTTACCTTGCCCAAGAGCAAGCCCTGGTGGAACACACTACTAAATGCAAGCGTGGAAAAATGCTTGGATATGTGGCTAGTGTCGAAGGTTAACACCGACCTCGAGACGCAGAAGTCTGCTGTGGCACCTTCGTTTTCTGGCCAGTAAGTTTTTTTGGAACTGCTATGTTTTTTGAGTAGGCTGTAACTCTTTTACATAAAATTGACTGAATATTTTGTCAATATTGCACGAGCTTTTTGTACACAATGTATTCATTGCATTGTGTTTATATGGTCAATTTGTCATTCTTATCTTCTTCAGAATCAATTTCTGGAGCAAAGCAAATTTAAGAAGGTTTCTCCCAGGCTCATTTAGAACTACCGTAATATCCAGAGAGATAGCCCACCTGAAATCGAAAGCAAACTGGGTGAAAATAAGCAATGGGCTAGCAATCGGTGTGCAATAAGTAAAAGTTGAAAACATTCTAGTTAGATTTAGTGACCTGCAAAACTTGTGTGATTGCAGGATGAACCGAAGACGACTGTCCTTCCCAGTCAGCAGTGTTCGCTTATCTCCCGCCTTGGTTAAGTAACACTGTTTTTGCCAAGTCACCATTGGCCAGGGCCCTGCAATTAATAGAAGAATTGGGGTGTGTGTATGTTTATACAGCCTAGAACTTAGCCTGCCTCAATGGGCAACTTGTGTCCTAGCTGTAGATGAGCAATTTAGCCAGTGCAGTATACAGCCGCTAGCCTGGGGTCTTTAACAGGCACCACGCAGTAGTGATACACGACTGCACGCCGGTACGATGCTCATCCAGATCGAAACGGGCAGGGGTGGAGATTGAATCCAGTATCTTTGGGTTCTGCAGCACGAGCCTTCGCTCCACGTGCTCCGAGGTGGTGTGCGCTAGCCCACTCAGCCACCGATCCCCCCTGCAATTACTAGAAGTGGGTTATCTTTCGGTGTTTCTGAAAAAAATAGCAAATCGTGCCGAAAATAGGGGTGGGTCATCCTTCAAGAGTGGGGCATCTCTCAGGATATTACAGTATGGAATAGAACCTGTAGCAATAATATGGATATACTGAAGTGAAGTTAAACTATTATACTTGTACAGGCATTTGAGGCACTGACATACTGAAGAACTGATGTAGGGAAACAATTTTCTAGAAAACAGCTACTTTACTATAGAAAGGTTTCGCTGTACAGTCGCCGACTGATTTTTCGGACGCCGAGAATTCGGACTTGTCCGATATTTCGGACCTGAAGGAGGGATCGTCGCAAGCGATCAGCGGGGAACACCACCAAGAAATCGCTATTTTAAATTCTATGTTGGCTGCACATGGATTGGCTTGGTTTGGCAGCACTACTTCCGTACTACTAAGTCCTACTGCTAGGTGATGCTATATTTTTTTTATAGCTGAGCCTCATTATCATTATTATTATTACAATTTTGCTTCGTTCATTCGCCATTGCAGTTGTGGACTTGTGCCTTTCATCTCTTCTCGGTGAATTGGGTTTTCGGACTGCACTGGCTTGGACGTCACTAGGGTCAGCAGCACCCAGGGCAATGGCCCGCCGCAACGATCTCTCCCGTTTCCTCCGCTGCACCCAAGGCAATCTGCCCTCCTCCCTCCCCCCCCTTCCTCCTTCCGTAGTGGCACCACTGCTTGGACGTCATGGCCCCATCTGTTCTTCCACTGCCGCGAAGTGTCGCCAAGGGGTGCAGAAAGTACTCAGCCAAAACGCTAGAAAAGAAGGCAACGATTCTCAAGCTAACGTTGAGAGCAAGTCATCTGCTTCTTGCACAGGAGTTATGATGATGTCACAACGACGTGGAGCTCTGATTGGCTTTGATTGAAGGGGTAGTGGGTGGACCTCAATGTTCAATGTCATCAGGTCTACCCACTATTTTTTCAATCGGACAATAAGAGCTCAGCATTCTGACATCATTGCAGCCCCTGTACAAGAAGCAGACGAAATTGCACTCCGGATAGAAAGTGGCGGAACGCAAACAGAGGCGTACCCTGAAGCAAGGCACTATTGACGGGTTTTTTAAGCCCGCTTAGACGTAATGAAGGCAAGTTTATGAATCTGCTAATTTTTCGAACTGCTCTATTATTCAGGCATTTTTTCGGTCCCTGCAAAGCCCGAAAAATTGGTCGGCGACTGTAGTTTCAATATACATGTGTCCCAAGTTGGTTTGGATGATTACACTTGGTTAAGCGTACTTTTTAGCTGGCCCCATGTTAACAGAGAAGGACATTTTCTCATCTGATCACTAACTAATGGGTGTTTACCATATCTTGCAGGGTTCCAAGATTGCAAAACCAGTCACTATTCTGCATAGCATTGTACCCTAACATTTTTTTCCAAAATATTTTATCCTCAGGCTAACCAGTGTGACTGGCCTGCAGTACATCATCGAGACCCAGCTGATGCAGCTGCATAGTGCCAGGGAGGCCCTCCTGCACACCGTGGGAGACCTGTCTGCAGAGCCTTCCACCGAGGAGGTGACTGCTGCCGTGGAGTGCCACCTCAGGCCCAGCAGGAAGAAGCGGGACAAGTGAGGCCCCTGTTTTTCTTCTTCCTGCCAGGGGTCAGCACTATCGCCAAAAGCTATGGGCTTTTGACCAGACAAAACAGACTTGATTGTTCATGTCATATCACGGTACGAAGAGATGGCTACGTAGATATAGTGGTAAATTCGAAGATTTTAAGATTTTTAACTGCAAGTGCAACTATGCACTTGCAGCCATTACGAGAGCGGCTTGGCTTGGCTTGACTTGGCCTGGCCGCATGGTGGCAAGAGAAAATTGGCTTGGTGGCTAGCTAAGTTGGACGCAGTTCGATACTCGCAGAGCCGGAAACTGGAGGTGCGTTCATTATGCGAAGGGAAAAAACAAAGTCTAAATATTGATGCCCATTGTGGGGGGTGTGTTCACTATGTAAGTGCATTCATTATGTGAGTGAATACGGTATTGCATATATTTTTTAATTGGTGAGAGGTGGAAGAACTGATCTCATGTCACCATGCAAACAAAGATATTGTTATTTGGATTCAAAAGTGGAATGATTACCATGTGATAAGCAGTATATAATTTGTTTAGAGTGATGGGATGTGGAAAAATTGCATTGTAGTAAAAACCAGGGAAATGCCTCGCTCTTTCCCATGGCACTTCAGTTTTGTACCCATCTGGTAAATTATTTGCTGTTCACAATGTTAAGGTTACGAGGACAAAAATGCAGGGTTTCATTTTTTACGGTTTTTGAGAGCATTGACTAGCTAGAAATGCAGTAAACCCTTGTTAACTTGAAGTCATAAGAACTAGAAAAAAATTTGAGAAAGCAGAGTTTTGAGATAAGCAAGGTACCGAATTTTCATTGCACTTGCCGCGCATTGTGCGAATGGAGCACTTCCAACAATCACGCCTATTGGCTTGACACTCGTGCGGTGCCCTGGGGAGAACAAAACAACTGCAACAAAATTTTCAACAAGTAAAATTGATAAGGTGAGATAGCAAAATCGAGAAGAACAAGAAAAAAAGAAAAAAAGACAGATAGAAGAAGAGGAAGAGTGGAAGATAACCTTGAGTGCGAGGGAGAGAGGTACAGCGGCACAAACCACCAAGGTATTGGGAGAAAAAAAATATTAAGACAAGAAACCTCCCTGAGGAGCATGCTGCTAGCGCATTTTTGCGCACTCACAGAATGCTGCACAATTTTGTTTTCTTTTTGGTCTTTGTTTTTGGATTGCTGTTTTTTCCGCAACCAATGTTTAACTTCATTGTTTGCTGTGCCCTTCCTGTTTTTTTTTTGTTTGTTTTTTGTAATATTTGTTATAAAATTTCAGATATACAAGGTCCATCCTGAAAACTTAGATAAGCAATGAGTAAATGCATTGTGCCTACGGGAGTTCATTCCAGAACAAAAAAATCTTTCGACTTAACCGATATTTCGAGATAGCTGAGTTCGAATTAACGAGGGGATACTGTAGTTTCCCAGAAATGTAAGGCTTGTTTAGCTCCAACGTGCCTGTCAAGAACAAAGTTCGAAATCATCTTCAGCTTTTCTAAGATCCAGATTTGTGTACACTTATTCGAAAGTTACGGACACATCAACTGAAGGCCTTCGTGACCCAGGTGCAAGTACTGCACCATCCACGAGATGTTCAACCGGTATGAGAGCCGCCTGTTCTGCTTCACTGAGGGTGCCGCACACGTGGAAGAGCAGAACAAGGAGGATGCACTGCTCGCCTCCCTTCGGCGGGGAAACTGGGGAGACAGCAACCTTGAGAAGATCATCAAGAGCCTCTGCAAGAACGCCGCATTCTGTGGTGAGATGTGAAGCCGCCTGCATTTCAGCGAGGTGCTCTTGTGTACTATAAATTACTTTATGATTGCAGGCTCAATATCTCGCGAATTCGGTGAAGTGTGGGTTCCAGGAACATTTTGTGGGCACAAAATTTTGCGAATTCGAGTGATGTGCCATGTGTTCGGTACAATCATGGTGCAATATATCCGCATTACCAAAGGTTTGCAATATTTTTGAAGTGGTGAAATTCGCAAAAATTAGGTCCTTGCAAAAATTAGGTAATTTGCCGTGTTTCAGCTAGAAGAAAACATGTTTCATTTGGTGGTTGCTAAATTAAATTGAATTATTTTGTGGATACTGTGCTAAACACATAATTAAGAAATTTGGTTCAGATGAGCTCGTGCTTTTTGAAACTTTGTGCAGTGCATCTCTTGACTGAAAGTTTCAAAGGTAATTGTTTAAGCCAAAGGCATGGTAGCGCTTTTTTGGACGAGGACAAAAAAAAGAAAGACAAGACAGACACGAGCGCTGATGCCTTTGCCTACCATGCCTTTGGCAACCCAAGACCAATACCAACTAGCCCAGCATACAGCATTGATAATTGACTAAGTTTGTCATTATTAAAAGTTTTATTTTTTGTTTTAGGTAATAAAGCAGTGTGTGAGGATGGAGCATTGCACATGCAGCTGTTTACTGCCTTCAAGAAAGAGTTTCGGGTGAGCACCTTGTACATACAAATACATACAATTGGCAGGCATGTGGGGTACCCATATACAGCCCTACATCTTTGTTGCACAGAGTTTGCTGTCCTCTTCTTTTCTCCTACCTTCATTTCTTTTACTTCTGCTACCATGTATCCACAATTGCCAACATAATTTATTTTCTCTCTTTTTCTCAATCTGTTGCTCTTCTTGCTCTTGAGTCCCTTCAGTCAAAACGTTTTTGCAGGAACAAGTTTGGCCAGATGACCTGCACCATGCCGCAGAGATTGTGTCAGAAACTGAGCCAATACTATTAGACCCGGCATGCTGTAAAATACCGGGCAAGCACCCACTCAAAATTTAGAAATAATCGCGAAAAAGATGGGGGATGGGCACTTGTCCGGTCATCAATTTTACATATCAATGTACTGCGTCTATTTTCTCAAATCTTACAAATTTGGGAAGGGGCACTTAGTGGGGAATGGGCGGATGCACTGTATTCTGCGGTAGTGTTTACACGTCATTATCTTCAATTCCTAGGCCATGCGGGCTGTGTACATGAGCACCACCGATCTCGTGGCTGCACTCGATGAACTGGAAATGGCCACTTTGCGGCTGGAACTCCAACAGCCTGACAAGATCGTCCACCGCGGCGGTAACAACAAGGACGACGACTCCATTCAGAAGCCCACGAATGTACTTTCGCCGTGGGAAGTAAGCCACTTGCAGAACATATCTGAAACTCTCTCTTTTGGTGTGGGCGTTCACAAAATGCACTGTCGAGAGCAGAGAGCTCGCTAGCCATGGGGCATGGCAAACCTTTTGCTGAATGACTGGAACACCAAGGAGCATGCTCTCCTTGTAGGTGCACATGCTGCACATCTTGGCTTCTGCAGCAGTATTTTTTTAAGCAAATGCCTAATTTTAGTAATTTATTTTGAATCTTTCCTACAGGCAGTGCGAGTTCATGCAGTGCATGAATCTGCAAGCCCAACATGCTCCTTGGAATTTCCGTCAGACCTTTACGGTGCTACTCTGAGGAGACAGATTATATACTGTAACCCCATGTTACGAAGAAGTCAACGGGACAGCAAAAAAAAAAATTATATAAGCGGTAATTCGATAAAAGCGATAGAGTGAAATAAAGAGTGGAAGCAGCCTTGAAGGTAGATGGGAACACTACAACACTCTGACCGTATATTTAATCAAACAGACGTTCGTTATGAACATCTCGTTGCAGCTTTACCGAGTAAAAAGTAATTAAGTGAAATTTGCCGATAATTTCATCCGGGCATCAATTCTCCTTAAACTGCTCCAGACATCGCAAGAACACTGTCACCGCCGCTGCGCTCCACTTTGTTTCAAAGCAGCCATAGGATGTTTCGTGTGTCTGCAGCCGTCGGGGCGAGGCGGGGCGGGGCGTCCTTATGGAATTCCACGGTAGTTTATACAGATATTCAGCCAAAAAAAACAAATGGGCGATTCCTCGAGGAGGGGGGGGCGGGTTCCTTGGCAATTTTTCATCTTCGGGTCGTGAGCGCGCTTTCTCCTATATGAAGTACTTGTCCAGTATGCTTTGCTTGTTCTGCAAACTGGTGGACAGTGTCGAACTGCCGATGCCGGAATGTAGAATTCTTTGGCGATTTCGGACTTGGGCCGGCCACTTTTCTCAACCTCGCAAATGTAAGCGACTTTCGGTAAACACTCCATATCTCCCATAAGATGCACGTGTACGTGTAGTATGCAGAAGTGCGCGCACGTAGGCGCGCGCTTCAGTGGCTCTTGGTGGGATGATTTCTTCTGGGCTTCATCGCTTCCCTTGACCCGATTCCGACAGAAGTTGGGCAGCATTGGCCGCTGGCATTGTGAGTAGCATCAGAACGTTAACGCTGCTCACACTGCTCCCTGCTCGCGTCCCCGCTTAGGCGCATCGGAGTTGGAAGTGGCGCTCTGCCAGCTCTGCGCACTCTTCCCTCTGTCACCCGTTTATTCTGTTTTCCCAGTTTGCCTTGGTGGAGAAGGGGGAGGGAACACAAGGGTCTCCGTGCATCTCCGTGTAGGCTTGCGTGCTTTCGGCACCTTGGCCTTCGTAATAACCCAAGTCGGACGCCGATACACTTCAAATGATCCGGTTAAAAATGCATGCATTTCGGTCGGGACCATGTTGAACTTTGATAAAAGCGATACAGTAAAACCTCGTTAAGACGTAGTTGACGGGAATGCGGATAAAGTATGCACAAAGCGGTAATAAGGCCTAAGGGAAAATGACAAATACACACAACTTACCTGTCAGAAAATGAAACCAGAGACATTTCTTAAAAGAACCCAAAACACAGCTATTTTATTTTACTCTGGGCAACAAAATTCAGTAGTTGCTGTTTAGCGCTGTGCCGGCCTTGCAGCGCAAAAACGCGTCTTCGATCTGGTTGAAATCACGAGCCAACTCCTTCATTAGGCCTTTCTTCAGGGCAAACAGGTGTAGGACATTCAATGCCCGCGCCGTTTCTGCGACTGTCGGACATAACGTGTCTGCCATCCCGACGTTGTCGTCGTCTTCATCGCTTAGGCTACAGGAGGACACTTGGGGAGCAACGGAGGCAACAATGTCATTGCCGGTCCAGTCCTGTGACGCAGCTGCGTCAATGTCTACATCTCAAAAAACGTCAAACTGTACACGTTCTGCAGCACCCTCCCGTTCCAAGACCTCCGGGCAGGCGGGGCGGGGCGGGGCGGGGCGGGGCGGGGCGGGGCGGGGCGGGGCGGGGCGGGGCGGGGCGTCCTTATGGAATTCCACGGTAGTTTATGCAGATATTCAGCCAAAAAAAAAAACAAATGGGCGATTCCTTGAGGGGGGGGGGGGGGGGGGGACGTCCTTATGGAATTTCACGGTAGTTTGTTGAAAGGTCAGTCTTCCCGAGATACATTGCACTTCACACCTAAGCAAAGAATGAAGTGTCAGTTGTGCTTTTTTCGCACCCTTTTAAGTGTTACGTGGCGTATCAAGAAACTAATTTCTTTAATTTTAGAGTCTCATCAGACTCTCAGCAACAAGTTCCTGCAAATTTTGAAGTTGGGCAAGTTAGAGATATAACTTCCTTTTTTCGTGTATGTCAGACAATGCAGTCCTTGAGATGCTCTGCCTATCATCCACAGACCTTTGCAAAAAGAGCTCTGTGGCCTCCGCCATTTTGCAAATCGAGCGACCCCTATCAGCCAGAAATTTCTGCCACCCGCCTGAGCTATGGAAACCTGGTCAGCTCAACGCCCCACCCCCATTGTGCATTTGGAGTTTGCCGGTTTCTCTTGAAAGATTTTACTTTATTTTCCTGTTCAGGGTGCTTACCCTTTGTGTGTTATCTTCCACCTTGAGAACCAGGGAATATCAGGGGCCATAGCCTGCTCAGCCTTCGCAGGAAATGAACGAAGAGAGTAAACGTCAAGCAGCCCGCGACACGGGCCGTTCGACATTCTTCAAGGATTATTCCTCTTGAGATAATCTCCGAAAAGCCTTCCCGGCTATGTTCCGGGTCTTCGCTAGAAATGACTGATAGGGTCGGGTCTGGGGTGTGAGAACAGTATAGACTTGTTTGTTCGTTTGCTTTGATGCTGTGCAAAAAATAAGCGCTCTTCAACATGTGCCCCAAAACATGCTGAATTCCGTCTGATCGTCGTAAAGTGACTATCGTTGACACTGCACATTGAATATGCTGTTTCATTTTACACCTTTTTCAAATCCTGTTTGGATAACGCGGCACCAGTGGGCACATACAATATATGTTGTTTGATTGATGAGACTCGTTGAATTTCATGTTGTGGGCGGGGAATACCCATGCAGTGCGGATATCCTGTGTGGTCAAATATTTTCGACAGCTAAGATTTTTGTAGATTGGTACGGCCGAAGGTATGGTGCCATGAAAAGATCAACATAAAATGAAACAAACATTCTAGTTGCATTTGTTCTGTCATGCACGGACTCACCCAAACAGCTTTCATTTCCTTAAAATGGTGTAATGCATTCTTAAAAACCTCGAGAAATTCTTTTCACCAAGAACACAAAAGAAAAATAAAACGCAACAATTTAGCTTCACCAGCATCCAGAAGTGCGCCTATGCAGGCTGCCACAGCCCACTGACAAGAAAACCCACAGCCCAGCACAGTTGGGCAACACTGACACAGCCTTTCAAAACTAGGGACGCACGCTGTAAATCGCTTCATTTGAAACTGCCGCTGGAAAGGTTTATGGACTCCCGAGGTTTATCTCTTGATTGTAGATGGTACAATTTACTTGCATTTACAGGTTCCAGAGCAGCAGTCAAGACTGCTTGTTGAAAGAGAGCTTCACAGAAATGACCTCAGGAAAAAATTGGGGCAGCTCTTTTACCTTCAAAATCTTGAAAAGGTTGGTACTTGTTTTGGCTTTGCACTAGGCACTAGAGAAATGACTCAAAAACACACTGAGAATCTCGTTTGAGCTATTCTCTTTGGAAATTGATTGATAGTGTAAGGCTGGAAGCGGCAAGGTACGTACAGCTATAGTTGGTGGCAGCTTAAGAACTCGGTACAGTAAACTCTCACTCGAGCGAACGTCAGTTTAGTAAATATTTCAGAATAACAAACTTTAAAAGATCCCTGGCGGTTTTCCTATGCATTTTATGCAAAAATGTTTCAGTCAAACGAAAAATGAATTTCGGAATAGCGAATATTTCAGTTCAACAAACTTGATCGGTGGACCCAGGATTATTTTTGCGATCAGTTCAATGAAGTTTTGTGCTCTGCAGTGTTAGCGTAGCCGATGCCCGCTGCCGCCGCCTCTGCAGCGGCAGCGTGTCATCCCTGGCGTTAACAGCGCCACCAGGGCAAAGCGGTGGTGTGGTAGACGACAACGAACTGCGGTGTGTGTCTGTTTTTTTCTTGTCATCTCAGTTTTTGGTAACAACGGCAGGATGGCAGTTTGTGTGCCCACTTTCGTAATGAGTATGACGAAATAGAAGTGGTTCTCTCTATAAGACAAGCTCAAAATTCTTCAGCGTCTGGACAACGATCAAAGGCAGGTGGACGTTGCGAAAGACTCTGGGATTCCACTGTCCACGTTGTCAACGATAGTGAAGCAAAAGTCGAAGCTTGAAGGAGAAACTGAATTCAATCCCAACAGGATATCACCCTGCCTGGGACATTTTAAGCCAGTGGATAATGCCGTTGCGGTATGGCTTTGTCACAGCAATAAGCTGTGCCAGAGGAAGTGCAAAAAAACATGGACAGCTTTGTTGCTTCATGCGGGACAGCTTTGTTGCTTCATGCGCTTTAAGCGCGCCGGTGCAAATAAAAATTACTGATCTTTTTCCAAAATGGGAAAGGCAGCAACATAACTGTTATGCACATTGTATATATGCAGGGTGTTTTTTTAAAGTTTTACAGATTTGTTTAAAAACAGCCGTGAAAGTTACACTTATGCAGTTTGTGCAGATGAGTTATATGGCCAGGGGAACATAGTGTAGGGGGCTAATCGTAACGATCAGTTGACTAATTAACTAAAATTCATTAATTAACTTTTTAATTAATGAAAATAGATATGGTTCTAATTAGAAACTTACTGAGCGTCATCGAAAACCACTAAATCAGGAATTTTCGGAAAGACTGAGTGCGTGAGAAGCGTAGTAGTGCACTAAAGTGACCACTCGTGGAGCAGGTACAAGGCTAGCTGTTGCAGGACGTGGAGGATTAGATTATCATCGCGTTCCGCCACTGCTAGCTTTGTGCCTGCTGCACGAGTGCTAACTTTGAGCTTCAAGTCGTTCTAAAAAGAGTTGATCTAGTGGCTTTCGATGATGCTCAGTAAGTTCCTAATTGGAACCATATGTTGATTTTCACTAATTTAATTAACGAATTTTAACTATTTAGCTGACTTATCGCAAACATTAGCCACCCAGATAATGTCTCCCTGGCCATATTACTCACCTCCACAAGCTGCATAAGTGTAACTTTCACGGCTTTTTTTAAAACAGATTTGTAAAGCTTAAAAAAAACACCCTGTATATCGATGTACAGTGCCCCTCAAACTTAACGCCGCCACTAGATCGCCCGGTTTATTCACTTGTTGAGCTATTCCTGAACCTAGTGGTCGAACTACTTGGTGAACATTCGCGTCCCCGATGAGAACCCAACCAGGGGAAGGTATTCGAGCAGCTGCAGCGACCAATTTTTCTTTGGGTAGCATGCAATAGATCAATATCTGCGTAACCGAGTGTAACCGAGTGGCGGCGTTAAGTTTGAGGGGCACTGTACATGACTCCCATAAATTGCATTTTACGCTTTTGACTCGACGTATGCTGGGGGGGGGTGCCCTATGCTGTTCCATATTCTAGTGAATATGTTCAGTTAATTGAACTATTTCCTTGGGTCCCTTGAAGTTAGTTGAAGTGAAAGTTTACTGTATATGCTCTGTCTGGAGTGCAAGCTCTCTGGTACATTACGCTTTGTCATATAACACTTTGTCATATGGGCGGCCGAAGCCCGGTGGAAGGCAACAAGCGCATGCTGGAAGCGGAGCATCTTCTAATTTCTTAACCTGTCACCGATCATAGGTAATTAATTACGCTACAGTCATGTCACGAGACTTTTAATTAGAAGTTTACAATCCTTTTTTTTGCAAGGGGGACGAAGCGAGGGCATAGGCAGTTGGTTTTCATATTATACCGTCGGAACTACTTTTCCTCCCTGGCTGCCCTCTTCCACTACCAGTGGCAGGGCGCCTTCTTTTTCTCAGTTCTGTCCATCTTCATAGAAAGGAACAGAGCAAACTGATCCAGAGTGGCGCTGTCGTGACTTTTTTCCTCGCCGTTTCGACACAGGCCGGGGGTTCCGGCAATGCCTCCAGCAACCCGGAGCCCTGCCCCATTTGCCAGAACCCGCTGGGAGAGCGCTGGAGCGTCATGCAGTGCGGCCACAACTTCTGCATAGGCTGCATCCAGATGATGCTGCGCACTCCCGCCTGCACGCGGGGCGGCGGCCTGCTCTGCGCCGTTTGCAGGAGCATCAGCGCCCACGAGGACATCTTCTTTGTGGACGTTAAGGCGAGCAAGCAGGACGCGCCTGAGTTTCCCGTGAAGGTACGTGCTCTGTTGTGCGTGAATGAGGTTTAGAACCATATAGCGTTGCATCATTTACGTCCTTCACATTGCGAGGAAAGGTCCCGGCATATTGGCTTCTTTACAGTGTTTAAGGTAGGGATGATTCTGCACAATTCAGTTTGAAGTGATAGTCATGCATTCCTACGCTGCAGTATGGTAGAAGGCTGAGCTAGTTGATTATGCAAAGTCCCGATGTAGAGTGTCTACAACTAATCTTGGTGCTCTAAAAAGAGCCATAAAAATTGGCACCTGGACGTAGAAAGCTCAAAATTTCACTAAATACCATCCTCCTATAAGCGCAGCAACCAGACAACGCAATGTTTCGTCTGCTCACTGTGCCTATCGGGAGATGGCATGACAATTTACGGCCATCGCTAACTTGGTCGTCTGCAGACACGTCCATTGTTTACTCTTGCAAGTTTATTCATCACATTTTAAAGCGATTGCTTTATGGGTGACACTTTGTAGGTTTGTTGCTGTCTGTCGTTGCTGCCGAGATGAAAAAAAACCTTCTTATCCCCCCCCCTGGAGCGGGGAGAGAGCAGTCGGGTGTTCCTATTGCCCACGCTGTGCTAAGAGGGAAGATCACACGTCCCCCTCTCCGCTTACCACTGAACGTCAATATTACACCCTCTCTTGAACGCTCAACTACATCGGGGAAACCTGCGCCTTCGCTTGCGTCATCAATGCCGCAGACACTTCCTAATGGTGCCACCGTGCCAAGGTCAAAATCGGTCCCTGGGGCGAGCGTGGAGGGAACGACTCGGTTTACGGCTCGCTTCCGCGGTCCCCGTGGGCAAATACCTTTGACGTGGCCAACCCGCAATGGACGTTCCACCAAGTTCTTGCTTTGCCGATTATGTGTTATGTTCTGCGACAAAGTCTTGCTCATCGTAACCTGCTACCTCCCTTAGCTTTAAAGGGCAACTCCGCTTCATTTTTGATATTTAGGAAACTATGTAGCCCTCTTCAGTATCATATAGGAAGACATCATGTCAAATGTTACGATCTAATTCCGTCTATATATTTAATAAACTGGCCAGCAAACTTTCAAATCAGCCAAGTCGCCGAAATCTGCCAACTCTAGTGTGCGACGTGAGGCGCAATAGTCAGCGAAGTCAATGCGACGGGGTTGGAGCGGTCAACGCTGAGCCACTACGTCAGAGGCATGACTACGTCATTCTCACGTTTTGTTTGTTTTTGCTTCTCAGAGTGAAATTGAACGATGACGTCATGAGTTTCTCCTCCAGGTGTTGGCTGAACGGCATCCACGTGATCACCGTAACGCGGATGCGCTAGTTTGCGCTGCCCTGCGCGCTTATCGGTCTGTTTCTCCGCTCCCCCTCTCCTCTTTTGTCTTCTCCCCCTCCCCCTCTCCCCCGGGCCATTACTGTCCACGCCATGCGAAGCGACCTGCCCGCGTCGCGTGTCCTGTCCCTTGCCCCCACGAACGTCACAAGACCACGTGGTTCAACGTGACGTGGCCATGACTCCGATGACACGAGACCAATGGTGCCTGACGCAACCGAAGTTTCGGCTTCGGTATCAGCTGATGTTTAAATTGAGATTACACAAATAATATTCCACATATCGCGAATCCGAGGACGTAGAGCTGTTTAGTAGTGCTTTGTGAAATGGAATCACATGCAAGCCTGAATTTTTCGGAATTGAGTGGAGTTGCCCTTTAAACCACTCGTTCTTGTGACCTTGGCGGCCACAAGGACGAGTGGTTCTGCAGCCTCATCACAGTGGAATGGGGCCTCTGCATGGTTTCCGATATCGGCGCACCGACACCACGCCTGGCACCACCATTGACCTTATGCTTACAGAGAACATTGACGCGCACGTTCAGTGTCTCGCCTTACCCACTTACTTCACCGAGCACTCGTGGCAGTCGTCGGTGGCATCCACGACGCCAACCACGACGGCGATGTGCATTAACTGCTTTGAAACTCCGTCCTTAGATACACGACGACACCATTTTTCTCGCATTGCGCGAACGTGCTACAGCTATCGCCTTTAGTTCCTCAACATTGGGGGCAAAAAAAGTGCCTTTTTTCATAGGAAGGAAGCTATGACTTGGGAATTTCGCCAGATAAAATGCACCACTTAAATGCATGTTTGGTGAAAGTCAGGGCTTTTTATGGCGCTGATTCATTGTAGGCACCCTGCATTAACATTGTTTCTCCAGCCCTGTTTTGTGTTTATTTCTGCATTGTATTACGTTTACACGAGCTTAGAAGGGTTTTACTGAGCCTTGGACTGCAACCATCTCTTAAAGGGTAACTGCAAAGAAAAAAAAGTCTTTTTTTAAGCTGCCTAATTGGGGCAAGCATGTCACAAAACAAATGTTCCGCGAAAAAAATGATTTTTTTTATCAATATTTACGCCACAGGACGTAATTTAGTAGAGTCAGAACCTCTCCACATTTGAAACTCCCGCTCTTTCGACCCCCGCGGAAGAGGAGTACGCCCCGCCCCTCACTCTCCTTGCGTTGCCGAGTTGAACGACGCAGCGTCTCGACTTCCGGCAAGATCTGGCAACTACGCCAGGCCGCGGTATGGCGGTATTGTTTTGGTTTGACGTGGTTTGCGAGCACATGTAGCAAAGACGTGACCGGAGAAGTGCCCCTGTGATGTTCCCGGAAGACGGAAAGTATCGTTCGTAATCGTCGTGCGCGCTTTGAAAGCGAAGGGAGTCACAGAATCCACGAGTGCGCAACCACAAGCCAAGGTTCACGACAGCGCTGCGTTGGTTTCGGCGATCTCGTTCTGTTTGGTGTAACAGGGCGATGCGACAGAGCTGAAACCTTCGTGGTGTGTGTAATGCGGTGCTAACACGGAGCGCAAATTGGTTGTTATGGGGTTGACGTTCAACCAGTTAAGTCCCGTCGTCGTCAGCTGATCCAGTCAAACTGGTTCGGGAGGACGCTGGGAGCGTTTTTAAAAGTAAATCTGCCTCGTTCTATTTCAAAATGTGGAAGTTTCCCGACGCATACCGTGAGTAAAAAGCTGCGGACGTTTTCAAATAAATTACGTCGTTTTAATTGAACAATGGACTCCAAATTGTTGTCCTAAATCTGCCGTTTTTATGCTTCGTGTTGCATCGTGCGGTGTGAATAAATTTGGGCACGATTTCGTATCTGCCTACAGATGCATGAACTGAGACCACTTTTTACGTAGTGGACATAGTGCTTTTTTATTTTCTGTTTAGTCGCGGACGTTAGGTGCACACGGAGCGAATCTTGACGGCCTCCAGAGCGATATGACGAGAACGTAACTAGGCACGTTGGTCGCTACGCGAACGCCCGATTGCCTCCAGCCAAATAGCATTCCTTTCGGGGCGACATGGCTGCTGGAAGGCTCACTGTCGGGATCACGCATCTGACATCTCCGAAAAGTCAGCATTTGCACGCGCAAACAAGCAAAACAAACAAACAAACAAAAAAACACGCTAAGCAAGCAAAGGGGAAAACGAAAGAACCGCGCTATGAAAGCCAAAACCCCGCGTCGCTTCCTATCACTAACACCTGCGACAGCTGCTAAACACACACTACTTCACTTCGAGAAGTCTCACTCAAGCACCTGGGTCAGCACGAAACGACGAAACACTGATCACTTCGGCGAAACGATTAGTCGAGGTACGCGAGACAGGCGGGAGCAGAGACTTCGGCGGTCATGAAAGAATGGCGAAGCTTTTGTTTGTATCGTTTGTATGAATCCAAACGGAAGTGCCCGTCTTGTAAACCTTTTGTAAAGAATAATAACTCTCATCACATGGGTTATTCTTTAAACGTAAAAATATGCCGCTCAAAAGGAAATTGCAACATACAACAAAGGTTTAACAACCAAGATCTAAGCTGTCAATCAAACTCTTAGCCAATGAGAACCTCTTGGGATTGACGTCACATAATCACAACTTCGTGGCGCGCGATTTAAAACGGACGAAATAGCCGCAAACTAAAATGAGTCTCACGCAATAAATATTGCTGTAAAAAATGTTTTTTTCTCGCGGAAAAATTGTTTTTTGACATGCTTGTCCCAATTAGGCTATTTAAAAAAAAACTTTTTTTTCTTTGCAGTTACCCTTTAAAGAGTCCAAAGAGAGGTCTATGTCCTCTTGTGCTATGTCCTCATACATAGCACAAGGTTTTCATGAGCAGAGACCATGTGTCTATATACTTTATAGAGTTCATTACTTCCATTTGCTGAAGGAGCCCAGTTAAGGGGAGGCACTACCCACAAAAAATATTTTTTGCAAAAAAAGTTGATTTTGAAATATGCCATGTTTACATCTACCAACATCTAGAGAGTATTCCCAGAAAGTTTTATTAGTTTGCACCGCATAGTAAATTTTCTATAAATTATTTTCGGTTCACCAATGTCAAAGAAAAGGTAGAGGTTGGAGCACTTTTAACGCAGTTTTCTCCATTACATTTTTTGGCATAAATTTCACTTTAGGAAAACTATTGTTTGTTATTGGGACAAGAGGAAAAACTCGCTCATTGTTTTTCTTAACTAGAATTTTATGGGCAATGCAGCTGTGGAATTGTTTTTTGACCTCGTGGATGTCTTTTATACAAGATGTTAAGATTTTGTTGACAACATAAAAGGCAAAAAATTTATTTGATTTTTCAGTGCGATGTTAGCATAAAATAAATTACTTTTTGGAAATTATGTTTTCACAGTTGCACTCTCCAGGCATTCTGCTGCAGATCTAGAGTAGAAAAATGTTGGATATTAGGTATTTACTCGAGTAATAGCTGCACTCTTTATAAAGAAAGCCTGAAGGTTTGCTTTTTTGTAGAGCACGCGGAGTGCCAATCACCGCGATCGACAGCATGATTCCAGCGGTTTACAGGACAGCGATAACGTCTTCGCGTGAAGATACCATCTGTGAAGATTGCATTTGTATGGAGACTCATGTTCTTGATCTAGTTATTCACTATGTTATTTATGCGCAACACGATTATTGGCTGTATATGTGCTTTGCAGAAAATAGGCACAAGCGACTTGTTCATAGTGCAGCTATTACTTGAGTTAATACCGTACGTTAGTTTCCTAACAATAGTTTTCCTAAACAAAGTCGGTGTGTTCCTGATAAAAACGACTATAACTTATTTTACAATTCATGTACACAGATGAAACTTTGCACTGCCTTCTGCCTTGCAACTGCCAGTATGTATATACTGTAAATTTCATTCATATTAAGCTATAGGTTCAGAAATGGACCCTCTTGGCTAGTGTCCCTCCCTAATGAAAGGCACTGATGGTATTTGGACGGCGGAAGGTGGGCTGCACTCTGCGGTCTTCGGTAGTAACATGTTACTTTGTTACTTTTTGGTACTTTTTCAAAATGGAACTTGTAACTGTAGTCCTATTACTTTTTCTGAAGTAACGATGTTGCTTTTTTAGTTACTTTGCAAATACATAGTTTCCCATGAGTTACATTATCTCATGTGCTTGTTCTTAGTTATCTTTATGCACACACTTGTTCTTTGTGACTGAACACTTGCATGTTGATAGCTTGAAGCACTGTTATTGTTGCCCTTTTATTGTTTCTGTCCAATCATTTTTTTGGTCACATCAATTGTGAAACAACACCTCCACAGTGACAAATCAGTGTAAGTAGGAGGGCTAATTACAGCATGAAGTAGTAATATGGTGTTCATGCAATAAACTTGAGGGAAGCATTTCTTTTTCTTAGGTTTTTGTGTAACAGAAATGTAACTAAAAATAACTCAGTTAATTTTTTAAAGTGAACATAACTGTAACAATTTAATTTTTTGTTGCGGTAACTGTAACAATATCTTTGCTACCCTTTTTTTTTTAAAGGAAGTGTAACTGTAACAAATTCCTTTTTGAAAGTGACTTATATAGGACTAGAACTGTGACCCTGACTGGTCGTGATTTTTTTTTTAGTCCAAAACATTATTGGTGTTATATTGTTCCCTGTTCTCCTTTTATAAATGGCAGTGATTGGCTTTGGCATGCTCTGCGGGAAAGTAGGCGCACAGGCTTTGATTATGGAGAGCTTGTACCGCTGTGCGAGGCAGTTATCTTTCTCTTTGTGTTCAGTTGCTTATCCCATCTCATAGATAAGTGACTCTTGCTCCTGCTTGTGTGTTCTTGCACTAGCCAGCCTGCTTACATCTCTTATTTCAGCCGCCGCAAAGTGTCATATCTGTCTGAATCTAGGGCAGTGTTTTTTTTTTTTTCACAAATAAATCCTACGCGTCTACTTTATGAACTTACTATTATTTACTTTTAGGGAAGCCATTCAACAAAAACAGAAGGCATTGTGAGGACACTGCTGAAAATCAAGGCAGAGGATCCCAGTGCCAAAGCTCTTGTATTTTCTACCGTATGTATGATTTCCCTCACTTTGTGGGTTTCCCACATATTCTACAATAGCTATTAGCCCCAAGTTGTTTAGTGCTCTAAGAAAAATGCTGTTAATGTGACTGTGACATTCACTTCTGTTTCAGTGGCTTGTTGTGCTAGATGTTTTGAGGAAAGCTCTGGAAGACAATGACATCTCTTACATACTGCTGAAGTCTGCCAACAATTCCAAGGTTTGTTGGTTTCTTTTGGTGAGGTTGCCCTCTTCACAACCTAGGGTCATGCACAAAAACATATTTCTATGAAAACTAGAGATTCTCTGAGCATCAAGCTTTATTTCACAAAACTGTCTGTACAATGAGTTTTGCACAATAATAAACTTGCATACGGGCAAATGATGTTAATTTTGAAATGCAAGGAGACCCTGCTAGGTTTACCGTGTGCCTTTAAACAGTAGTGCATTTACTTAAAGCCTCATCATGCAAGTTTTGTGTTTGCTTAGCTACCAGATTTGGCAAATGTTTTAGGATTTCTAAATTGAGAAATTGTGCTCGCTCGTGTCAAACTGTTCTGTCCTCCACAAAAAAAAAACAATGAATTTTACTGACACACATGTAGGCAGGTTGGATGAGAGCAAACAAAGCAAATCAGGAATGGCAAGATTATAATAAAAGCTCAATTACAGTCTAAGCTCGTTATAACAGACCTTGATTTTGATCAAGATTTCTGTCTGTTGAAAGAGGAGTATGTTGTATGCAGATATGAAGTTGAGTCAATGGTATGTAGAGGAAAATCAACCGAACTTCAGAAATTGGTATGTTATATCCGAATGTCTGTTGTAACCAGGTCTGTTGTAATGAGCGTAGACTGTACTGCAAGTATGCTATGCAATTTTTTACTTGCCTCCACGTAGCAGTACAGCAAAGCCTCTCCTGACTCTGGCACATGCACATGTTAGGGCCATCCAACGGAGTGAGGTTTAATCACATAGATGTCTGTTACAAGGCATGTGTCACCTCGACTGTCTTGAGTTACAGAAGTAACTGTGTGAGTTACAGAACCTTGGAGGTCTCGCTCCAGATACACTATTGGAGCCAGTTTATTGACGTTTGTGTGGTTAAGGGCCGACAAGAAAGCAGAATAGAGCACCCTTCAATTGCTCCTTTCCCTCCCGGAAAGGAGGAAATGCTTCCTCCTCTCTGCAGGGAGAAGCTATTTTTGGGTGAGGTTGGGTCGGAAATGGAGAAAAGGTAATTGGGGAAGTCTTTTCTGCCGCATTTGCCTTTAAGTGCCAGTTTAAAAGCTAGATTTGTGCAAGGCAAGGTGCCTTTGACGTTACAATCGCCGTAACCCTGGGCCACGGTGGAAAATATTCCTAGGTGAGGACGCACAGTGTGGCAAATGCAACGACGCAATCGACCGGATGTTGCAGTGCCATTTGCATCAAACTGTGCCAGAACGAACAGCCTGCTTTGTGTTGCTCCAAAGGCTGTATTTGTGCACAATTTGCACCATATCTGCACCAAAGGGGAGCTGTTTTCAAAAACGGAACTGAAAGTGTCTGGCACGTGGCAGTGTTGGAGATGCCACTGAAAATTAAAAAACTACAGTTTTTTTTTTTTTTTTCGGATGATAAGTATTATGTGCGAAGGGTGGGTTTGCACGACTATTCGAATTTTCAAATAGTAGTTCCGAATAATACGCTTTTTGATATTCTCTTCAAAATGAACTGCAATATTCATACCGTATTTTCCGGGCTATAGTCTACGGATTATACATGTTTCAAGGTTGAAATTTTAGGCTGTGCGGACTATACAGGATTTTTGTTTTTTAATATCATTGATTATGACGAGACGGATATTGTGAATGAAATATTATGTTATTGATGATTTATGTATATTATAGGCTTTTTGGTAAGCTAAGAAAGCAGACAATTGTCAAGGTGTGCCGTCTATGAGAGAAGATTTTCGTGTCGACTAAGCACCAGGTGTGGACTATGCACTGAGTGTGCGGACTATGCACTGGGTGCAAACTATCTAAGCAAAACTTTTATTTTTGACTCCAAATTTTCCCATGCGGACTATACACCGGGTGCGGACTATAGCCCGTAAAATATGGTACTTTTCGAAGTGTTGTTCGCAGCAAGTTAGTCCCCTTGAGTGCGCTTCTCCTCAAGCGCTGGTGCACTGCTGAGAAGCCACACCTGCGAAGCTGACACCGCAATCTTGCAACTCGCTTCGCCGCAGTGGAGCTGCGTGTTTAGGCGAAAAGCACACTTTCGAAGTGGTCTGGTGCACGTGCACACCTGGTGTATTAACATGAAAAAAAGAAAAAGGCTGGAAGCATTTTTACATTGCAATAAAATCTTCAAAATTTAACTGTGACTATTATGCGAGGGTATTTGTTAGGCAATGATGTTCTTACAACCTGTGTTCATTATTTGCGCTTATTTTCTTTTTAATTCAGAATCGAAGAAAATATTTGCATGCAGCAAGATGATTTATAAATCCCCTCAATTAGATATGGCTGGGCTCCTTTATAGGCTTAATTTAATGTAAAATCTGTCATTTACTTGTCATTCCAATGTAGGTATTGGACTTTCTGAGGCCACAATCTATAAGTATAGCTAGATTCAATTTAACAGAGCTCATAAGTGGGCATTTAGAAGCTTGGAAACAATCTTTGCAAGTTCAGCTGAATCTTCGTTTAAGTGTGGTGTGTGGTGCAGCAATTATTCAATATTTAATTACAAAATATCAGGCCAAAACCACTATACACTTTGAATTTGCTTCCAATCCAAAATCCATTATTTGCACATGTCTAACTACCACAAAGCAGACAGCAGCGTGAGACACATTCAACATGAAAGCGACCGACTAATGTTGAACTCATGACAATTACGTCACCGTAACAGAAACCCTAAAAAAAATTTTTTTTTTTGCGGGAAATTTAATTTTTGTCATCGGATTGTTTAAAAAAAAACTTTTTTCTTTTCAGAAGCCCTTTAAGGGGTTAAAAACAAGCGTGTCTCCCATAGAGAAGCACGGGAAACCCGGGCTCGCAGCAGACTACCACTAGAGTTCCTGTATATAAGCTCCCGTAAGGAGCGGTGTTGTGTTTTCATCCATCTTGAAATCCAAAGTTATGCGGGAAAGCCACTCTTCGCGTGTGCAGGAGCCAATATTAAGGGTAGACAGAGTGGATCGGCCTAGTCTCCTCGAGTTCGCATGCGGTAGTACATTCGCATTGCCATTGTTCCGCAAGTGTTTTCCATCAGCCTCCGATGTCACACACGTGATGTCCATGTTTTTGGTTCACAGCATGGTTAAAAATGTACCCAAATAGGCCGGAATCGGGTAAGACCTAAGCGGGCAGTGGACCACCGCCTGTCCTTGTTGTCATCGCAATGCTCAGTTGAATGATACATGGATGATATACTGCCTATGAATGAATGATATACGGCCTCATGCAAAACCAAAGAACATAAGCACAGTTGGCTAATGGCTAGTTAGCGGCTAGCGGAGCTGTGGAGCAGCCGTAGAAGAGGCTTTCCCGTGCAGCATTGAATTTTTGTATGTCACGTGATTGAATTCGGCGAATAGCGGCGCAGTGGCCCATGGAAAACAGGCATGTAACAGGCTCCCCAAAGGGGAGCCTGTCTAGGAACTCTAGCTACCACTAGCCTAAAGAGCCATCTGGTGATACCACTCGCAACCAAAGCGAGGAGAGGACTTCATCTAACAGTTGCCATGCACGCGACATCCATACCCACGTATATCTGGCATCGCCTCGTCCAGAACAACCTGGCCCTGTTCAAGCATGACCCCGAGGTGAGCGTGCTCATGCTGCCCCTCTCCCTGGGAGCCAAGGGCCTTAACCTGACAGAGGCCACCCACGTGCTGCTCATCGAGCCCATCCTGAACACGGCCGACGAGCTGCAGGCAATCGGCAGGGTGCACCGCATTGGGCAGACCAAGTGAGGCAGATCGAGTCGTGCTCAGTTTGTTCTTGAAAGGTTTTTAAATCAATTCATTTCCGCAAAAGACATGGAAAATTAGTGTTGTGACTTTTAGGAGCTGCCAAGGATTTCAGCCTGGGTAAAATTTTCACAATGCTGGACCCAGTAACGTTATCATAACGTGCCCTTAAAGATTACCCGATAATAACCAACTTCTTTTCACTGTCCATTTTTTTTTCTCTTTAAACAAGGATTGCGTTTTTTGGTTTTTATGACAACATGTGCAGTCTAGGTATTGTCAGTAATAGCGATTGTTTTCTCCTCAGCTTAAAGGATGGGTGGATAAATCAGGTTCCAAAACTATGTACCGAATCTATTCGAATATAAGGCGGTCACGATTATAAGGCGAGGGGGCAGTTGAAGGACCCAAGAAAAAGAAAAAAATTGTCATATTGCTATACCGAGCTTCGAATATAGGGCGGGGTATGACTTTGAGACTACAGATTTTGGAAAAAAACCTCGCCTTATATTCGAATAAATATGGTATATCCCAAAACACTGAAAGGAACTCTAAAACGTTTTGTTTTCCCAGTTCGCACTTCATAAGCTGAAATTGTAGCTCGAGAGCATGGGGCTTCAATTAAAATATTCTTATGATATAAACTTTTCTACAAAGAGATCCTGTTTAGTGGTTGGTGAGGTCCATAAAAAATCTACTATAGTCAATGTTTAGCAGACCATACTACTTGAATATTATTGTCCATTTGTCTTTGCTTTGCTGAATGTCTTCTGTCTACCATTAACGTTGTAAAGCAAACAGAGAGGTAATTGCAACCTGTTGCCGAATTACAGGTAACTATGCTTGATAAACTTAACCAATTTTGCCAGCAGACTATTTTTGACTTCACTGGTATCTATGTGGATCAGGGTGCTGGTAAAGGTCATGAAATTGAATGTTTTTGCCAAATGGTAGACAATTAATGAACACATACTTTTTCTTTTCCAGAACAACGCATGTTCATCGCTTCATGATACAAAACACAATAGAGGAGAAAATCGTGGATTTCATCATGTCATCTCAGACATCAAGGAACCCTTCTGAAGATTATTCCAAAATGACCATCGGTGACTTGAAGAAGCTTTTTGAGTGAGGACTCAGTGACCTGCCATAGCGCAGGTTAGCACATCGCTAGGGGTTCCCCGTTTTTAAATAAATTAGAAAAATAATTTTAAAAAAAGCCATTGCCGCTAAAATATTTGTCAATCTAGGTTTATTCAATAAACTCTGTTTTTTTCTAAACGTGTGATTGCCAAAAAGCAAAAACACAGTAAGCGCTACAGACAAGGACTCCTATTAGGAGTGGACAGGACAAGTGCAAAAAACAAGCTGAGGTGCTTCACATACCTCCGGTCATGCTGCAGGGTCGGCAGTCCTGAGGAAATGACACTCAGTTTCTCCTTTAAAATCTTGGGAGGATTGACAAAAGAAGGGCTCATCTCATCGTCAGTCCAGGAAAATGGGTCAATGTATTTCTGGGCCACGGCAGACGCCGATCTTAGCTTGGATTTTTGCTAGCCACTATTTCAATTTCAAGTTTAGGCCATGTCATTTACAAGGAGGAGGGCGGTGCTTTCCTTCGCGATTTTCATCACATCATTTGGGACCTACTTACTTTCACAGCTTTGTCTTTTGACTGCCAGGCACTGTATCTGATTTGCTTTAGAAGACTGGAGTGAACCTGCCACTAGGTGGCATTGATTTCATTTGAGTCGCCAATAGTGGAAGCTATGATCCTGTTCATTTTATGGTAGCGGGGGGGAGGGTATCAACTGGAAATTATATTTTATATTACCCCCCAACCCCGCGTGGCCACGGCACTTGTCTGTACCTTGACCTCGGAGAGATAGGAAGAAATAAAGCTCCCCCAGCGACCATGTGTAGGAATTTAGCCACTTTGAAGAATAGATGTCTCCTGAAAGAATTGTTTGGCAGATTTGTTGTATAAACAGATCATATTGTCAATGACAAGGACACCATAAGTATTGCGGAGCATCTGTAATCGCAACACCACGTCCAGGTCCTGGGCACCTGGTCTAGATACAAAGAGCACTCTTCTAAAAGGGTACGGAAACGAAATTTCAGCTCTTATTTCTTTGGTTAGCCAGAAACTATATATATATGTTGTGTCAGTACCTTAAAGGGACACTGACACCCCCCAAAAAATTTTTTTTATTTTTTGCCAGGCGCCTGATTATGGTGTCGGAGGACTACCCAATTAATATTTTGCAACAGAGTAGCTTATTTCTTTGATAAAGCCAAAAGACGCAACTGCTCGAAACCGAAACCGAAACCCGACGGAGGTCGGAGAAGTGGAGAGAAGAGAGTGACTGGCGGAAGTCACGTGGCTACACCCGACCGTGCGGTTATTTTTTTTTTTTTTTTTTGGTTTTTGTTTTCTCTTTTCCGGTAGCAGACGACACGACATGCGGCGTGCGGGAACTGCTTGCCGTGCGATTCTTTTGCAGTTATGTTTGTTCCGCTCGTTGTTCTGTACTCCAAGATGAGTTGTTTTGTACATTGAGGAGTTCGAGATGAGTAGTGAGTGCCCGTGGTGAAATTTCCATGATCGGCTCCGAAAAGAATAAACCCAAGATGTTGCGTGAAGAGCTGGCTCACATGTCCTGCATCCGAAAAAAAGTGGCATTGTGCGACAGAGTTTCCGAAAGATCAACGGGATCGGGACCAATGGCTGGCTGCAATTCCTGTAGAACATTTACGGGCACCTCGGAAAGCGGACGCTACCTGATTTATATGCTCCTTGCATTTTGTGGAAAGTGATTACATTGAGTTCGCAGGTGTCAAAACTGAAATCCCATACCGTTTAATTCAGCGAAGTATCGTCCACAACATTTGTTTGTTATTTTTTTGTTCGTTTCTTCAGTGATGATTGTAATAAAAAGAAAAAGATATGTAAACATCAAAAAATGTTTGAAAAAAAAAAAAAAAAATTCACGGGGGATCGAGCTTGGTCCTACCGCGTGTGAAGCGGACGTCTTTCCCACTGAGCTACTGGGGCTTTTTTTTTTTTTTTTTATTAAAAGTATGGGTATTTACAAAGTTTTAAAATGATCACATTGGTTGCCATACACTTATCATGTCAGTGAGCACTGTTTACAGGCGAGGACCGCGATTCACACACAAATTCAAAATGTATCTCGCTCAATCATTTCTCTGTAGCGTCACATGCACCCCATGCAGCCACTCGCGCAGTGGCCCGGGAATCCTTGTTTACCACTGAGCCTTTAGAGCGCGGTTATGCATACGCGTTCCAAATAGCGACCAACATTCAAGCCCTTGTTGTTCCGTCGCCTCAAGAAGGCTGCTCACGTACAGAAAGCCGTCGCAGAAGTGTTGCCAGGCGGGCTTGGATCCCTCTCGGACCTCCAAGTGATTCGTCCTCGACCACCACAGCGCATATAGACCGAGGAGTGCCAGCAGCTCCCATCCCCTACTCTGTGCACTGTCGCCGAAAAGCAGAAATTTCGCGCTCTTCCACTCTACGTAAAGATCTATCTGCAGCACTGCTCGAAGCTCTGCCCAAAAAAGCTCCGCATTCGTACAGTACAAAAACACATGTTCAAGTGTTTCGGGAAACGGACACAACGCACTGTTTGTTGACCACGGTTCAAAGAAACCTTTTTTAACCAGCCACGTCTTGACCGGCAGTACTTCGAAATGGAAGTGTAGGAAAAAATTCTTGACTGCCGTTCTGACAGGGTATCTACGTAAGCGACGAAATACATCCGATTTATCCACACTTCCCGGAAAGCTGCGATAGAGTGGGGGCGGTATGAGCAAATCAACTGTGCCCCAGTATAGAGATTTCTTAACTTTCTGCAGGTACTCGTCGGAAAAGCGGGCTCGGAAAAATTCCTTCGCCGCTGCTGTTTCCTGATAAAACTTCAGAGCACGTGCTCGGAAGTCCCCAGTGCCCCCCTTGAGCCGCGGCCCCAAAACGCTTCCTCCCAGCTCCTTAAACGCAGAAATCACGAGAGGATTGCCTTGATCGCGGAAAAATAGGAAACGCTGTACTTTCAGCTTAAGTTCTACGTTTACAAGGCCCAACCCTCCTTTCTTCTGGCTTACAAATAGGTTGTCACGCCTCATACGTTCAAAACACGAGTCCCAGATAAACGTTGCGAAAAATCGATGCACCTTCGCCACGTCACTTTGGGAGCACGGCAACACTTGTGCCGCGTACCAGACGATCAAAAAAAAAAAAAAAAACAGTTACAAATAAATGCGCGATTGAACAAAGAGAGTACCCTAGCATGCCAGTCAAGCACCTTACTTCTGAGGCGATTAATGTCCAAACCACCGCATCGGCCACTCAGTTTCTCTGCGGTCAAACTGAGCCCTAGGTAATTCGAAACGCTCGTCGTCCAGGTGACACCGAGGAACTGCTCCGGTTTCAAGTCCCAGTCTCCAAGCCAGGCTCCGACAGATTTGTCTGTGTTCATCGCCGCACCCGAGACACTGCAGAAGTCTGCGATGTGTTGGGTTACAGCGCTCACTTGCATCCTTGACGAGCAGAACACCGTGACGTCATCTGCGTAGGCGAGCACTTTAAGCGTACCCGACGGACAGCCCACGAATGCTCGCGTCACCGATAATGGCCCTGCACAACGGTTCCAGGTACAATGCGAACAGAATAGGCGACATCGGGCAGCCTTGTCGCACGGATCGGGTAACGGCAATGGGAGCCGTCCTGCTGCCGTTGACCAGGAGCCGCGTCGTGATGTCACGGTAGCACAGCTGCACATATCGTAGCAGTCGCACCCCGATCCCACACTCCTCCATGAGCCGGAAGAGGAACGAATGGCGAACCCGGTCGAAGGCTTTGCTCAGATCTACCTGAAGCACTGCCACTGGAAGCTTCAACACCTGCGCTGCCTCGCACACGATTCGCATCGCGTGCAGGTTGGTGCTGATGGTCCGTCTCTTGATGCCGTAGGCCTGATGCTCTCCGACGACGTCCCGTAGACCCCACTCCAGCCGCTTTGCCAGAATCTTGGCTAGGATTTTATAGTCGCTTGTTAGCAGACTGATGGGCCGGAAGTGGTCGACCTTCGGGGTACTTTTTGAGTTTTTCTTCTGAATGAGCACCGTTACCGCCTGTCGCATGGATGGTGGCAGCAGTCCTCGCTTCAGTACGTCGGCGTACACGTCTCGTAGGATAGGATACAGCTGGGCTGAGAACGTCTTGTAGAACTGGCTACCGAGCCCGTCCACTCCTGGCGATTTGCGCGGAGCTAATTCCTTGATGGCTTCCTCGACCTCTGATGCCGTTATTTTCCGGTTCATTTGTTTTCGGACCTTTGGGGATATCTTGGGCAGCGCCACTCCAGTCGTTTGGAGAACGCCGTCGTCCTCCACTCTCGTGAACAGGTCAGTGTAGGCCTGCAAAAACGCGTCTTCGATTTCTTCTTGCCGGGTAACCTCGACGTCGCCTACTTGGAGCTTCCCGATCTTGTTGCGTGAAGCGTGCTGGCGTTCCTTCGTCTTGAATATTTTGCTCGGCTCTTCATCTCTCTCGAGGAACAGCGTTCTGCTTCGGACCATGGCACCGCGGTACTCCTTCTCGAGAAGCTCCAGAATATTGCCTTTGCAATCGCGGATATCTTGACTGAAGAGTCCCGGGGAACGATTTTCCTCTGCGATGAGGATTTCCAGGGTCTTCATCAAGCGGCGCTTTTCCGCCCTTTCGCGCGCCGCTTTTTCCTGGCTATGCCATAACGCTTTGAGCTTGACGTCCTCTTTCAGCTCCTCCCAGGTTAGCGCGCTCATGGGCGCACTTCCCGTTTTACCCTCGAGAAACTCCTTTATCTGCGTGCGCAGTTGTTTGTCTTCGATGAGGCTTTCGTTTAGCTTCCAGCCACTCCACCAAGAGGACTTCCGGGTTCGCGGCACGGGTCTGCCCAGCGTTACCGTGACCAGAGCGTGGTCCGAGAACGCCAAGGGTAGGACTTCTAACACAGGCGTCATTGCTGAAAATTCTCCCGAGAGGTAAATACGATCCAGTCGAGCATGGCAATTTCCTTGCCAATGCGTGTACGTTGGGTCGGCTGTTTTCTCGTTGTCCTTAATCCACCAGGTCGAAGTCGCGGAGCAGTTTTCGCAGTTCCAGCCGGCTGACGTCCGCTTTCAGCCGCTTTGAGCAATCCCTCTCGGCCAGCACACAATTAAAATCACCAGCGAGGATCGTTCGACAAGGTGTGTCGAGATACTGGCGAAGATTT